CGGAATTCTTCCAAGAACATTTCCGACGCAAGGTAGGGTAATAGTGTCCCAAAGGTAGGGTAAGTATGTCCATGGTGACACGAAGCTTGTCTCCATGGTAGGGTAACGTGACTTTCTTAGGTAGGGTAAACTCACCTGGCCTTCTGACCTATCCTTAGGTCAGAGCGGACATTGTCACGTTACTACCACTACCTAGGTACACTAAACCTTAAGTACCTACAGTTCTTTTAGAGATTTCCGGACCATCGGATATCTCTCGGACATGCGCCTGCATACCCGCCTAGTCTACCAGCAAACCTCTTGGTCTTTTGTATGGGCGTAGACATAGGTTACCATAGCTCTATATCGTAGGGTCGTTACAGCAGGAGTGTCTGACGGTTGGGACTTGGAGGCTTTTGCGTTTTGTATGGTAGTTGATATTTGGAGGAGCATGCCGGTGTATCATGAGGACCTCGGCCCCAGGCTGTTCACTTCGGTGGCAGTTCCAGTCCGCTTGTGGTCTGCTGGAGGCCCACCCAGCCTTATACCAAGTGTACAAGCAATGATCGCTCGACCATAAGCCATGTTTTGGCACAGCGAGTATAAATAAAATTAGGTTGAATTTGGATACCTGTACCTAGGAATTACATCTCTCTTCTACTCCATGTCCTCTGGAACCTATGAACTCTGACCCTGAACCCCTGAACCCCATACCTTATACCCCTCAGTTAGGTTATACACCTATTCCTAGACCTTACCTCCAGACTCCTGCCTGTCCCGATTATGGTGTGCCTTGAGCTACCCAACCCTCAGACCCTGACCATTACATGTTACCATTAGGATTCTTAACACTATTATATTTAATTAATATACTCCAATATCTTTTACTTTTTATTATAGATTATTTACTTCAGTTTATAATCTTATTACTCAAGGTCTTGGCAGTTATGTTGCATAGCCACTGTCGCATTTTTGCTGTACCACATGGTTCATATTCTTCAGTTGTTGTAATAGCCTTGAGCTGAAAAAAGTTTAATATCATAATATTCGGTAAACTAGCTACCTGAAAGCATCCCAGTCCGTACTCTATCCCATAGCGTTACTTTTCATTAGGTAAAATATAACATTGAGTTGCCGGGCACTCAGAGTGCCCCCCAAAAGCTCACTTTTGGGTGAGTCGCGACGTCCACGCGGCAAACATGCCACGAGTGTGCGATGGCCGGAATTCCCTCCCTTGGGACTCCATATAGTTCACTTTCAGAGCCCGCATACTTATACCTACCTTGAACCAAATATTGCCATCCGCACAATGCGCAGAAACTCCGGTATCGCGCAAACTCCCACTAAGTCCACTACCTACCGAGGCAAAGGAGTGAGCAATTGACAATTAAGCTATGATACTAGCATTAATACCATCACCACCTGATCCGCTCTCCAGCCTAATGCCTCACTCCACTTAGGTCTACAACCCACGCTCAACCTAATACACATCAAAGCAACATCTCCCCCTCCACTTCGTAAGGATTATTTCCGAGAATCGAAAAAAAAAGAGTAGGAAAAACTAGAATACAAAGGGTATCCCCTCCTCCCTTCCTTAGACGAGCGGTAAAAAACAGAAAAAAACTTTTATTACCACCAAATCCCCCTACTCCCACCCGATTTCCGTGCACTGCAAGGAAAGGCAGGCATGGCCCTTCTAGTAAATCACTTTTGGGGTGCCCCACTGTTTTTGGCTGGGACGGGGGGTGGCACGTCGGTCTCGGGCTCGGGCTCGACGGAAGCGGAGGGATTGTCAACAGAGGGTTCGGCGGGGGAAGAGGTGGGGGCGGCAGGGGCGGCAGAGGTAGTAGGGGTAGCAGGGATTGCGACAGTGCCTGGTTCGATAGTCTCTATGGTTTCATCGGGCTGACCAGTCTTTGCGATCTCCTTCGGTTCTTCTGTTTCCTTAGGCTCCTCGCATGCCTTAGGTGCCTCCGCTGGCTTGGGTTCCTCTGCTGACTTGGGCTCCTCCGCTGGCTTAGGTTCCTCCGCTGCCTTTGGTTCTTCTGGCACCTTGGATGCCCCAGTTTCCTCCTTTACCTGCACTGGCTCTTCCTTCGGCGTTTCGGTGGCCACAATGGTACCAGCTTCGCCAGACTCAACAGTCTCGGGCCCTGGTTGAATAAGTTGACCATCCACGCCAATTGCCATCCCTTTGGTAAACAACTTAACACCCTTCCCACCATACTCCTCAGGAACAGTTTCCGAGTTCAACTCAGTGGCGAGGGAAGTGCCATAGCTCAGCATATACAATTTCTTGAAGGTGTCCTTATTAACAATCATCTTCATGGCAGTAAACATCCAACCCATGAGAAGCGGCACATTCACAAAAAACTTCTTGTCCAGGCACTCTGGGTAGTAATTCTGAAAAAGATCTATAGCCTTCTTAGACGCTGCCTTGATCACAGGAGGACTACGCAGGAAAGAGACCTGGAGGTAATCGTGGATCTGGAACGCCTTGTAAGGATCGAGACCGTTCTCGGGAATAGGAGTATCGATCGAGCCAAGCTCCAGAAGATCGATAGTACGCTCCATAAGGGTGACGCGCCAACGGATGAATCTACCGGCAGTCAGCAATTGCCAACAATCACCAGACTAGCAAGGGGGAAAAATACTCATCAACATCCCCAAATGTCTCATTGAAGTTCTTCACAGCACCATAGATATTCCAGGTAACAACCACCTCCTGATCACTACCCCGAATCTTCTCCTTCGTAATCCACCCCAATCCCGCAAACTTCTTCTGATCCCAAGTGCCAATCACCTTACCATCAGCACCGAAATAGCCTCTGCGCCACTTGATCGTCTCAACGAATTGCTTCTCGGCGGCAGCAACATCATTCTTATTCCCACGGAGGAATTTTTGGAGAATGAGCTTTGTGTGGAAATCCTCCTTGGCGGTAGAGAGCGTTACACCCCACATTTTGGTAGGGGCAGTGGATTCCTCGAGTACCGGAATGATGCGAGTGTGTAGTTCGGCCAGGGCCGCCGGAGTGGTGCTCTCGTTCGACATTCTTTTTTTTTTGTTATAACTAGCTCGATTAACTTAATCAGCTTATCAGGGACAAAATCGCCGGAAAGAAAGTAGGGAGAAACCTACTCCTATGCGTGGATGTTCTCGCGTAAGTGGAGTGGAGAAATGAGGGAAGCGGGATGGTAGGGGGGAGAATGAAGAAGAGAGGGAGAGCAGAGCGGGCTAAAGAATTGAAGGAAGGGAGAGAATCAAGGGATGATGAGGACGTTGAGAGGTCTTAGGTTTGCACCGGTGGGTAGTCTACGATGGCACCCACGCCAGCTTTTTAAGCGAAAAGGCAAGGGGTTGATCATGAGTTGGTGTCTACTGGTACTGTACCCGTTACAGGCAAGATGTACCAGGATACGGGGGGGAGTATGTTTTGTATCGGCGCTCAGACACTCATAGATCATTTGCAATATACTCGAGTACCGGTACCGGTATTTCCCCAATCCCTGTTCTCTCCCACCTCTTGGCCGGGGGGGGGCCAAGTGGAACACACGGTGGTAGAGCCATGACCTTCGAAACGACCCCCATCATCAATCTATCCGAGGCGAGCATCATGCAATACTTTGTCCATCAGAGCCACCTTAAATTTTGTCTGCTTCAAAACACCACCCCCGATACCGGTATATCATACTTCTTTACAGAGAGCCTCTTTTTATCACCCCGTGGAAATTCAAAGTACAGTACTGTACTGTATCGGCACCGAATATCTAATCCGTGATGGCTTGTTGGAATGGCCTAAAGAGCAGACTTGCGAACGGATAGGCCCGGGACCCGATCCTATTCCGCTCGGAGGTGTAATGCCGGTAACGGCAGGCTTTTGAAGCAGGAAGAATGATCCAAAAGTTCGGAATTTACTACCCTAAAACTACCGTGCCAGCCCGATAGACTCCACCCGAATATGCGGCTTCCCAAAGTGAACCCCAACGGGAAATAGTTTAATGATAGATACTATATACTGTATACCGTAGATAGAGGATGGCCAACGATCCCCTGGCCAATAAACGAGTAGCAAACCGTGCTGCACTGGTACTCCATCCCACGATATATCCGTATTATGGAACAACACATTCAGAAAATGCAACCACAGCCGCAAGAAACAGGCAACAGTGAAAGAAGACAACCACAATAATAAAACTTATACAATCCCCATTATTTCAGACACAGAGCCCTCTAGCAAGCCAGCACAAACCGAACCTCTACAAACAAAACGCCTCGTAAGAAAGCGAGAAAAAGAAAGAACCCACACAAACTCAATTAAACCCTAGTCTAGCAACTCTCTCAGCAACGCCCTCCTCGACGTTCCCTCTGAGCATCCGCACCGCGTCACTGCTGGCCAACCCGACTCCTCCACCGGCCCCCAGGACTCCTAGACTACCAGGCGCCTCGCTGGGGGATGCAAGGACGGAGACCTTTGCAACTTCTGCAGGACATGGAGTTTTGTGCTCACGCGCTTTGCTCTGAGTAGTTGCAGTGGAGGCTTCTAAGAACGCAGGTATTTCCTCAGTCTGAGGCGGCTCGTCCTCGTCGTCTGAAGCCAGGAATGCCCGGTCAGACCACTGCGCCGAAGATTCTGTATGGCTGCGTTTACGCCCCCCGACCCGACTTGCGTCGTCAACTTCCAGATCTTCGTCTCCAGCAATATCCGCCTGATCCTGGTGGCTTTCGAGGGCATCATCAGTAGTTGCAGCGTGGGATGCACCGAAGTGGGTTTCAGCAAGATGTTGGACGACTGGCCATCCATAGGCGTTCGCAAACATCCTTCGGACTATGAGGTTGTTGTGGGCATCTGGCTCGAGTCTTACAAGCACCTTTCGCCAGCTTACTCCTGCGTGGTATGCCCTTGCAATTTTCTCTTCTGCTTTCAAGGGGTTGGATTGGCTCGGCGGCGGGATGTCGGTTGCGGAGTATATCCTATCATGGAAGATCGTGCGAGGCCGGGAATTTGGATCCAATATAAAAGTGGGGCTCGGTAGAGGTGGGTTCAACACATCTCCGGCAGCTTCGAGTATCGAGGTCCTCGGGGGGGCAAGAAGATTGGGTGAGATGGGCAAACCAGGAGAGGGCGGAGAGGGTGGTTCCGGTATAGTGGAACCAGGTTTCACGTTAGGTTCCATGTCGATAGTTTGACTCCGACGATAAATCTTCGGGGTGGCCTTTTCCTTGCCCTTACGTTTGGCTGTCTGAGGCCGAAAGAGGGCGAGAATGGAAGTGAATGGATTCGGTGCAGAGTTGGTAGCAGAGCTCTCGCTAGAGTCGTAACTGCTCGCCGACATTCCACTCTCCGTTTCCCTCCTCGGAGGCTCTGCAGTCTTAGGCGCTTCAGCGACACGATTTTCTTCGACCTTTTGTTCCGATTTGCGAGTACCATAATTAAACCAGGGGGTTGTGGGGCTGCTACCAGTTGAAGGCCCAGCACCATACACACTTGTCCGAGGGCTAACCCCCCGCCCTGTCCCATTTGTCAATTGCCCCCACCCCCATTCAACGAGTCCACCTACTGCCCCGTTCTCTCTACGGGCCTTCTCAACTTTGCCAAGGCCTTTCCAATCCAGGAATAACAGACAGCTAGTTCTTAGTGGAACAATCCCGTCGTTAACCACATTTGCGTAGACTGTTCGATTCCTGAACATTTTCAAAACATCATGGGCTGGTCCTGTTGGTAGTATTCGCAGTAACGGCTTGCTGGTATCAGCTTCATTAGGGCTGGAGGGCTTAGCAAATGCGGGTAACGGAAAGGGCGCGCGCCATGTAAGCCCGAGATCTTGTCCAGTGCGTCCTACCAGGCCAAAATCCAGGGCAAACTTGACATATATGGGGTTCTCATTGGAAAGGCCCAGGAACGGGGTTGCGAGGGCGACAAAATTGATAGGTTTATGCAAGCTGAAGAAGTTGGGCGAGTAAGCATGGATGTATGCCATTGCATACGTCTGAATAAGACCCCCGAGCGAATGCCCGATAAAAGAGATGCTAGTGATTTCATAAGGCGGAATGTCTTCTAAAGTCGGAGAGGGCGGGGCATCTAGATGTGGGTGATGATGCGGTTTTCGAGGTTTCTGTAGTTTGTGGGGGACGGGCGATGGGGGGCGGCTGTTTGGGTTCACTAGGTTAAGCACATATCTCGCCAGCCTCCGACCCAGAAACTTGATTCCCCTCTCTGTCCGACACACGTTTCCGTGAAATCCTCGCACGACAACCATCTCCCTATCATCTTCGTTGAACTCTGTGCCTTCCCTCACCGCCTTCTCCCTTGCAGCAATTTCCCCTTTTCGGTACTCTTCATCGATAGCCTCTTTCATAAACAACATATCTGCCCCTGTATTGCTGTGAAGTCCATGGGTGACAATCACCAAATGCACCTTCTTGGTCTTTCGTTTCCGCCTGTTCTCCCTGGTCCGTTCCCGCTCCTCATCCTGCTCATCTGGGTCCAACTCGCTTCGAATCTCGTCCTCATCACCCCAGCTCGGGAAAGCGGGAATATTCCACAAGTCTCTTGTGCCTTGCAATCTCACATGTAAGGCTTTATGCAATACTTCGCTATCCCCGCTACCCGTAGATTCAGGCCTCGGTGAAGGGCTCCCGGATCCAAATCCATACCCAGTATTCAAGCATTTCTCGTCCTCGCCGAGAAGGACCTCAAAGCTTACACTCGCGTTGGCCGAGAAAATGGCCTGAGAAACCACCTCGACTATCCACGTCACACTCGTTCGTCTCTTGACGTCGTAAACTACCATCTGTCGTTCCCCACTTGACCCAACGAGGTCGGTATCGTACTTCCGTGATGCATCCTCTATCAGCTCTGCTGGCAGCGGAAGTGTAGCGTAAAAACTAGCTCCGGCTTTCAAGTGCGGGTCAAACCTACCGCACTCCATTAGCCCATTTCTTCCCCCTTCCTTCCGGCGCAGGCCAAAACAAACTCTGGAATTCCCCCTTCACCAACCCCCCCCTCCGAGCTCCTGTCTGCTTCACCCCGCAACTCCTCATCGCGACCTTGGGTTCCGGGGGTCCTTGACTGCCACGGCTGGAACTCCTTTCGCCGTACAGATACGTAGAGAGTGTAGGGTCCATGCAAATAGGCCGCACGGAAGGGTAAGGGAGCGGTGTTCTTGATGCGCAGATAAAGGGCAGTGGGAGGAGGCCCTGTTCGACCAATAGGAGGAGCATATGTTAAGGTGTAGCGGTGAATGTCACCAACCCTGCTTATATTGGAGGTATGCAAGAGAAGCATGATGACTGCGTGCGGTTTCCACTCATGTGGGTGCAACAAGGGATACTATCCGTACCGGGGGTAAAAACAAATAGGGAAGTACCGTGGCTGATATCAGGGGTGGTGGAGGCAAGGGCGGGTCGAGATTTTGCGCCGCAAGCTAGCGGAAGGCTTGTTGATTCTATGGTGGAGAGAGAGGGGAAAGAGCTTGAATAAGGAGGGAGAGAGAAGGGGTTTTCTCTTAATGATGTTAAATTGTCCTACCACCGTGCCTCCGCGCTCCGGGAATCTGGTTGACTAATTCAGCACGGCAGTCATGAATAACTCGGTCCGTATCGTGCTCACTCGCTTCTCCCTTCGGGGAACGTCCAAATGACCGCGTCACCACCATCTGATAAGATTAATTACCCACATTGGTTGCATCAACAACCTTATTTGCGCAGTGAGACCTGGGCCGTCTTAATTCAAGTTAACAACAAGGCTTGGCAACCCGGCTCTCAAGCCCTACCTGGTTGTGGCGTGAAACCCTTCGAACCTGACATGGAGTCGAGGGTCACAGATGCCCGCTTCCACTGCACTTTTATGCCTCCATCAGAGTATGATTTTGCAGTCATGCTTCTCAAGCGCAATCCCATCAGGAGCAGTTAAGAATTGTTTACTGTATGACCCGTTGAAAGGATGGCGTTTAAAAACCCAACAATTGTCGGGGGTCCGACGGGCCGTTTATGGGACCGGCACCCTAGCAACACTGTTAATAACTCCTACCTATGTCCTCCTCTCCAATGTTCGTCCCAGATGTTGGCAAAAAAGAATTTTGGTCACGGGTTAGGGATCTTTATCCCACCAAAGGGATACCGTCAACTACCAGTATGGTACAAGTACCATAGTCTACGAGTGCGGCCGATAAATATATTCGTCACGTGTCCTATCTAAGGACGAATCGCAGCCAAAAGGTGCACCAAAACTTTCTTATCAGACTCACGTGACGAATATATCTATCGGCCGCACTCGTACAAGTACCGATGTGGTGCCGTACGAGTGCTACTTGTATAGTACCGGTACTAGCAAGCAAGGGACGCCTGAGGCCAAAAACTCTTTTACCGGTAGTTCAATCACGCCCCGCTGTAACCCCCAACCTGGGTTACGACGGGCAAGGATTACAGCGAATTCTTAGCGGGCTTAAGTTGGCATGTTTCCCCGCCTGTCGACGCCTGTCGCGCACGGAGTCGAACAACCGGCCCCCATGCCCGGTGCTGCACTATAGGGGGATGACATTAGGTGAGTGGGTATATGGTCCTCGAATCTATCGCTAACCTTCAGGCAAGTGCTTGCACATTTTCCATGACCCCTCTTGTTGTATGATTCCCCCAGTAACTTAATAAGTAGCATATTCTAGAAGGGGCAAGGTTGAAGGGGAGATGAAATATAGTTCTGTCTTTTTCCAGCTGCAGTACAAGTACTAGGAATGAAAACTAACTAGCTAACTCTACCAGAACAGAGACCACGTCAATAATTTCCGGCAAGGTTACTATTAGGACCGAGTTCCGTCCAACCTCTTTTCCTACCGGCCCAACCCCTTTTTCTCCCGCCTGGCCCATTTTCCTTCCCGCCCGACCCCTTTTCCTGCCCGCCCAACCACTTGTCCTGCCCACCCGGCCCCCATCCATCAGGGAAACGCTACCGACGCCTCCGAGGAAGGGGAGGAAAAGGGTGAAAAGGGTGAGAAGGAGGAAAACGAGGAAAATGAGGAAAACGAGGCGAAGTAGCGAGGAAGCAGGAAACCGAGGCACCCCTTAGTACAGTCGCACCTCGCTATCCCGGATGGCCAAAATCCGAGGAATCTGTCCGGTACAGCGAGGGATCCGGGACAACGGGTGAGGTTTTGGTGGAAAGAAACCCAGAGTTCACCGAGATTCATACGGGACAGCGAGGTATCCGGATTATCGAGATCCGGGATAGCGAGGTGTGACTGTACCTCTCAACGCCTCACAGTCCTATAAAAGGTAAGTTTGATATAACTTTTTTTTTTTGTTAAATCGGTTTATTTGTGGCTAGCCACAGGAAAATCCATGGCGTGCAACCTGAGTTATGGCCTAAAAACCCTTGTAACAAAAGAAACTCATCACCCCCCTTCCCAAATAACAAATAAATGGTAATTTAAATACCACATCCAATCCTCTCATAATTGAAAAAAACAATTTGTGATTCATGAAACCAAACCAAGTTGGCATTTTCTGTTCTTTCAGGAAGCCTTCCAGCAACATAGGAAACCCTATTCTTATTATTGCTTCTCTTCCATAACCTCAGACTGAAAGTGGAAGAGCCCACCCCTAGTCTGAAACTATAAAGGAGGATAAGATATGCAGCAGTAGGGTGCCAGTTATGGTGTTTTCATCTCAGAGGATACCATTCCAGCACACTTATCAAGCTCCAAGTTCAGTGGCCAGGCAGGATAATCATGAGATTGGGTTGTGGTGTTGAACCCTGCTTTTCACCTTCCTAATTAGGAAGGTGAATGGGGGGTGAGGAAAATCGTGGAGACGGAGCTTGGTAGGTTTGGTATAACAAACCCCCTCTCCTTGTATAGTCTAATTGCCTATCAGAATATGGACAAATCTCTGGCGGATATGAAATCGATTCTGAAGCTCATTGGTGCGGCTATCTTAGGCTTGGTAAGTATCAACAGTCCTCTTCCGTACAGCTTATCAATTAACAAATATGCTAATTCGGAGCTAAATACGTGATTGACACTACAATGGAGTCGAGACTCACTCACAGGCAGCCCTGCTCGACAAAAATTTGGATAACCAAGGGAACAAGTTTGAAAAATGCTTGGAAAACTTGATGTATGCGTTCGACCAGACATTAGCAGCGGCCTCAACCGCCTCAGGTTGGAGATCCGCAACGACCATCTTCATGATGAACAGAGACGCAGCGGGAACAGTAAGTAGTTTTATTATTATTATTATTGCTAATCCCCTGGAGCTATTTAAGCGAGGGCAGTAAATAGTTGTTTTTCTCGTTATGAACCAAATGACTTCGCCAGCCACAGGATTTCCACCCTTTCTAACATTGTTTGTGGTATAATATGTTGTTCCCAGCAATTCCCTGCAGTTCCCCGCAGTCCCCGACAGTCCCCGGTAGTTTCCGGCAGTGTTGGCGGTGACCACTGGTCACCCCCCCTATGCCATGACCAGTGGTCAGGACTAGTTACAGCAGGGGTCAATGAAATGGTGGGTTAGGGTTTGTGGAAATAGAATCGTAACTTTCACTGAAAATTACCCAATTTGTGGCCTGAGCACCCTTTGCTAGTAAAATATACAAAACATAAGAGCTGTACGTCCATATTGCAGTTATAATACCTATCATGGGTGATAAAAAACAGTCCTCCGATTGTAGGTACTCCAACATAACCCTAACAACCCATCACCCCCTGTCACCCCCTTCCACTGACCATATTCATGGTCAGCACTGGTCAATTCATCAGCCCTGGTCACTGCCAACACTGGTTTCCGGCATTCCCCCACAGTCCCCCGCAGTCCATGGTGGTCCCCCGCCATCCCCCCTTACCAACACTGTTTCACCCCGTAGGGCCTGCCGTCCTCCGCTTTCACCACCCCGGACGGACTGCACGTGGCCGTCCCCCCCGCGGGGCCCCGCCGCGCCCCTGAACGGTTGGGAACACTGCCTTCATCTTGACCCCCAAGCTTCCTAGTGCCCATATGACTTTGTTCCCCACCGCTGTATAGAAAAGATAATATCCACCCCCATCTCAGCAAGCAGCAAAGCCAAATGACCAATTAATAACTGAGGGTAAAAAGAGGGACTAATCTATCGTGGTTAAAGACAATCTGTTAGGCGAGGAGAAATGAAGGTTGTAAAAGAAGGAAAAATTAGAAGAAAATGAAAAGGTTGAAGGAGGGCGTATGCTCAGGGTGAAGGGAGGAATGCTGATGCCAACTTTATTGGATAAATGCCAGACAAAAGGTCTTGCATTATCGCTACAATGTCATTAAGTAAAAACAGGCCCTCCATTGGTCCCTTTTTTATTCCCTCTCCCCCATTTTGATAATATCCGATTTGCACAGCGCTCAGCTCACCAGCTCCCTATGGTTTCACGGTACCACGAAGCTACAGTATCCCGGCGGGGGGGTAGGTAAGTGTAAGATTACTAAGATTAGATTGATCAGTAGTCCTGTGAAGTGTGTACTTGTACGGCCAAATTGAAGCCAGACGCTATATAGGAAGCTCAATCTTGGGTGTCCGGCCACATGAGTATAGTGGCTAGTTTTCGGGACGCTCGGCGATGCACCATTCCCCCTTTCGCCCTCCCTGCCCCTACCAGTGCCTTCTACCGAGGCAATCTCGCGATAAACAACTGGCGCTCAGAGTGCTTTACCGTGCTCGAGTACTCGTACCATAAACACAATTACCAGTATGTAGAGTTACGCAAGCTTGCCCCCGAGAAAGCAGCTCACTAGCATTACAGAAAATTCCCCTACTTCTATTTATACTCGAGCACCCATGATTTCCCATCGGCAATCTCCTACCACAGTAGTTTGAAGCGCGCGATGCTATTGTAAATCCGGCGAACCCATCAACAGGATACCGATATCGTACCCCAATCGTCAGAGCGAATGCTCGAGGACGGGTGCCGGTCATTGACACACCCAACGAATCCCCCCGGTTCTTGTTTCCAGAGTAGACAGCGGGGCTGCGGGCGCTATCAGAGGCGGTTCGGCGAAGCCCCATTTTCCAACATTCCCAGCGCATAGCCAAAGTTCTCTTCCATCATACAAACGGGCCTCATCCGATGGACTTACCGGTGCATCATTCCACTCGCATAGCAGGCGAAACTACCGGGCAACTACCGTTCCAATACCATGAGGCTTTCATCTTTTATTCTTGGGAGGTACATTATGGACAAGCTACCAGATTACCTCCCGCAGTATCTGGTCACTAAAGAGCTGGTGCTGAAAATCGCATGAATATATACCGGTATTGGCTCTATCAATTGCAATATGGTCAACTAGGCTCAGGAGTGCGGAGATATCACGACTGCCATACACGCGGGTAAGATTTACTAATGGCTCATTTCCTATCGCGGCAGGTTTCTAAATCCCAATCGCCAACAGAGCAGGTGTGATAACTCCCCCGACATCAATCCGACTGATAATTTTTCAACAGCCGAAGGCAGTATTCATTCCTGAAATCGCAAAATCTGGAAAGTGTCTTAAAGGCCTGCAGGAAGTCGTCGGATGACCGAAATGAGGAAATTTGGAAGTCTACCCCTACGGGAAATCGCCCATTGATGTTCTTAAACTCCTCTACTGCCGCCAAACAAACGACATTCAGCATACGCGGGGCCCCCGATATTTGGGTGTTGAACTGGTCGGAACTCTGTACCTAGAGCCTGTCTATAAAACCAGCTTGCCTAGGAGCGGAGAACACCAAGCAACGCAAAGGGAAAGAACAGGGAAGCACTTTAGAGAATATTGTCGCCCTCTCCTAGCGCCAGTTAAGCCTATAACATACTCGAAGAGCGCTTTATGGTCACAAGTTCGGTGGCATGCCCCACTATCCTTTGGCAGCCCAAAATTCGCAATCTCCATGAATACCCACCGGCATCGCAGTTAGCATTATTCCAATAAATTATGTATCCGTGCTCCCCTTCAGTTCCTTCGGGCTCTGTTTTTTTTCCCGACTCTGCTAGATTCCCTGTGGAATGCTGTTAATCGAGCTCGTTCGTTGCTGTTAGTTCCAACCAGCTCCCCTTCCCTCAGCTCCCCTTCCCTCCACCGCCCTCCCTAACCACATATCAGACCTCACGGGTTGCCCCTCCCCCGGCACTTCTCTAGCCTCAGCCATAGAGAAAATTGCTGACAAACTTGGGCACGAACGTCACTTGAGCGGACCGTAGTCCCGCCATATTACATTTTCCCAGAGCGGAAGCCAATATCCCTTCTGATTCCTATACTGGAACATATATAGGTTTTTGACAAACCTGCTCCTAGCCTCGTATTCGGTATTCACAAGGGCAAAAATGGCCAAGCCAGCTCAGGTCGTGGAGAATGTCACACAATAACGAAAGCTACGCGGCCCAGGGTTTGATAGAGGTATCAAGATATGATCTGTAGTCTTCTGGGTAGCACAGACGTGCCGGCAATGTGGCTCCATCGGGTAACAGTGTGAGGGCAAGGCCAGTAGTTCGGGGTGAATATACTCGAGCGGTATAGTACCACGCCATCATAATTTGCCCTATCATACAAGGGGGCCAAAAGGAGGTTTATTGAGCCTACCTCTAAGCGGGCTGCTTGGACTCGAGAGCGCCCAAAACTCTTTCCTCATAATTTCCCTCCTATTTCCCCTTTATGTGCGCCTTGGGGTAGCAAGCACTCAGTGAGGCAGACAGGAAATTACCTCCAACCCGAGTGAGCTTTCATGAACCGTCTACACCACCCACGCAGTACCAGTACCAACTCCCAAATAGAGGGATGAATAGCACATTATCCAGATGGCAGCTCTACTCCTATGATTCGATGCTAATTTGGGATCGCTAAACCCACCTAGTACTAGGCTAGCTAAAATGCCCAGCCCTGGTATTTTGTCTTGCTACATCACTTTCGACCAGCGTCCCGGATGCGGAATGCACACCGCAGGCTTCCTCCGTTGACTTCTTCCTTACTTTCCTGTTGCAGCTTCCTGGTTTGCCCCTTACTCGATACTCCCGGGCCCAACTGTTGGCACAAACGTACTCGAGTACGGTAGCTAGGAGGCCACCGGGGAATAGAAATGAGAGAAAAGACTGCTCCCAGGAATTCCCCGCCCCGGAAAAAGGCCTACACCTGCTTCCCTGACCCCGGCCACCAATATCTGGTTCAATCATCTTCACCAGCTCGAACAGCCAGAATCTAGAATCCCCCTTTACGCCACATAGTTTCTGTCTACATCTGCCGGTTGTCTGAGATGGCTATACCTCGGATTGGGGGAGTCCAGTGTTCTCTTCCCTCTTGCTCACAGAAGCTGAGTAGGGCAGAGAGGCAGCCTCCACTTTGGGCTCATGGACAGTATGCTGGGAGATATCTCTTTCCTTCCATGATGCTAGACTAAGTCACACCCCGGCCAGCACTATATTTCCAGACCCCGGGGAGCCAGGGGGATACAACGAGTGATGCGGGATCACTTTGTCCGGGGAAGGTTGGGAGAACTCCAGACAGTAATTGGGCCCTACTTGTGCACCTTTGGGATCGTACAGTATTACGCTATGCACTTTTAGCTGCGGAAAGACGTGTCTGAGGATTAATGGTATGATAATGTCAAACGTCTGGCCGGTGTCAATACTGACAAAATTCCGAAGGTGCTCGTGATACGGGAACAAAAAAAAAAGGATGCGCCGCTCCTCCCCGTGCCTCGGTTGGAGAAACGTACATTTCTAATAACTTACAACATAGTGGCATAATTGCGAACGTAGTTAGGTGACGTCGCACGGAGGTGCGGCACTTGGCGCGCCGGGTACCATGACGATGCGGAGCACAGTATGGAAAAGGTGGCTTTCCTCTTGATGGAAGCGAGTTAGTAGCCTGCCGTGTCCCTCTTTCCTGCTCCCATCAAGCAACCATCAGAGCCTCAAGAATTATTGGGGTTCGCCAAGTGGGTCACGGAATTTTGTGTCCTTCATACCCCCTTAAACTCCAGCGAATTTCTCCAATATCCTGTTTTTATATTGGCACTATACCCACCCTAAAATGCTTCCATTCCCCTCCCCACATGATTGACCACTTCGGCGGAGGTGCTGAACGTGGTGCAATCGTGCATCTCCGGTATCCAAGATATATGCATATCATTATACCTGATTTTGGACGATAAGAGATTTGCGCAGAGACCTAGTTGGTGTTAACATGGGCTAATTGCGGGGCCTGACATCCGGTTCCTTGATCCCACCTGGTCGGGGCGCAGTATCCATGAAATTTTACCTGGAATTAGGGACCCTAGAACCCTAGTTTCAATTATCCTTTTATGCCCTTATGAGGGCACGAATCATACCTTTAAAAGGAGGGGTTTGGGGTTGCTCTAGGGCTAGCCACTATATTGCCGTTGAAAGGACCGAGTTTAAGAAGCCCGAAATATGTCGGGGGGGATCATGGGCTCTTTTGGCTGGCGGGACCTCTGGCGACACCGTCGATAATTCCCACCCGGGTCTGACTGGGAAAACCCTCCGATATCCGCGTCCGCTAAAGGCGCTTGCTGGGTCTATCCCAGGGAATTAAGGGAGATTGATGCTTAGCAACTTAGCGGTTCTAAAACTCATGGATCTTTGGGCACCCGAAAGTAGGGCATTGATTGGATGCTGCGCATGAACTGACAGTGGCCATTATGGGTCATTCACAACTTCCCACACTATCCTATTACGTACGTACAGTGCAGTGCTCTAGTACTATCCTCCAAAAACCTTCCGTGGCGTCTAATGAGATCGCTGGCCTAGGTTCACAACCCAACATTAAGCTTTCCTTCTTCCCGGTTGGAAGCTGGCTCCCACCACCCTCCATAAGCGCGGAAATCCCGGGTGGGTGGGGCGCGAGCTGGGAAGGGGTGTTTAGTCTACCTGCAAAACACCTGTACAAGAAATGGGAACGCGACCCACTGCCCAAGGGATGCAGCGCCGGTGCTCGAGTCCCCGAGGAGGGCCCTGCTAGTCGCACTGTGCTAAGAGTGTGGGGTTTGGAAAGGTCTGGCGGGTGCGGCTCACTGAGTTTCTATGTGTCTGACAGCTAGCATTTCCCCCAGACTCTACGAGTGTCCAGTTTCGGGGTTTCTCACTCATGTCGCCCGATAGAAGCCGCGCTCTCCTTGGTGAGTTGCCTCCGAAAAAAAACGAACAATAGTCGGGAAGCAAAAACCCCTACAAATGGGTCACCAACCAGAGGATCCAGGAAGCCCTCGCGGCTATCGCCACCTGTCATAGCAGTCGGCTATCTACAAGTGCAAGTACCGGTAAGGTGCTTGGCGAAGGGACGGGCGATCACAGCCCCTCACTCGCAACCTGTAGAATACCCGCCAAGAAGGCCGACAATGATGTCAGATGTCACGATGATGAGAACCGCCCGCAATCCCGATAAAGATGTGCTTTCCCCGGAGCCTAGTATCTGATTGTGGAGTGCGGGAAAACCCACTCCTGTTCTCTACCGAATAGTTACCACATCAAACAAATCCATAATACTCATTTCTACTACAAGCACTTTACCCAACATCATACCCCAAGAACCTATAATAATACCCGAAATATCTTCCACCGCCTCTTCTCACCCTCGTGAGCTGGTACCAACCCTAGCACATCAATTGGGAAAAAGATCAAAGACTTAGTGAGTGGAATTCACGCCGTAGAAAGACAAGCATGTGACGTGGGGGGCATCGAGAGGGGGCGGCATGAAATGCTCTCGGGTAGAATTGCGAATGACGAGCAGGCTGATAGTGTTAGTCCTGTGGATGCTGGACCGGGAACGGGGATTGGGGGTGGTGGGTCGAATGTTTATATGAGGGTGATGCGGGGTACGGGAGAGTATTAGCGAAGGGGGAGAAGTGGGGCGAGCACCGAGAAATGAAGGAAAGGAATATAAATTTATGATAATATTATGATACAAAATGTTATGCCACTATGGAATCTATGCTCTAACAAACGAGGGCTAACTCGACCGACACTTTCCATCCCGTGAACACCTGTTCTTCCCTTTCTCCCCTCGAGAAGTGCGCATGTAGTGTACAGACAAAACTGACAGCAAAAAAGAAAATAATCACCACCTCCCGGGTCCGAATACTTCCCCCTCGGGCACCTGGAGATAAGCGCATGCCTTCCAGTCGCACCCGCGCTTGTATACTTCAGTCCCCCACCAGCTAAATCCCTTCATCCAACCGGGGTAAACAAAGCCAAAGAACACAACCACCAAGCCCACGGCAAGACTCGCGTCTAGCGCAGCGGATAAAGTCATAGTATACTTCCCCCACCAAGCGGGCGCCCGTCGGAGGAGGTAGTGATTAAAAGCGAAACAAACAATAGCCCAAGTCGAGAAATTCAACCCGGTCTGTAGCACCGTACGTATCCCAGTCAGCACCTCATCACAAAAGGATGGGAGGGGGAGAGGGGGGAAACGAACCGCAGGGGGGATCCAGCTCAAACTCCCAAACACAACGGGCAAGCTAACCTTCCTCAACCACGCCACCTTTGTCCTCCTACAATTCCCGCCCTTGCCAGCATATTTATACACCGTGAACAAAAAGATGGGGGCCAAAGCACCCACGACGAAAGCCCACATGAGCGACCTGTACAACTCATCCCTGCCAAAGAAGCGCCCGGGTCCGACTACACCCCACAGTATACTCCCGTTGAAATGCACTCTAGCAATGGGACAGGTAAAGCCGTTCATCGCCTGGGGCGTGCATAAGCCCGGGATGTAGGCAAACATCCAGTTTAGCACGCCAATCTGAGTGAACGACGAGACACACGTCGCAGCCATCTGCACCGAGAAAAGCAGGCGCGGGGGAATCTTCATATAGTGACCTAGCTTCAGGTCCGCTGTGAACTTTAGGCCCTGGACGGAAGTTATATAACCGTACGTCACGAAGACCATGTTCGCGACCGGGCGCCCCGGGAAGAGGGTTCCGCAGATTAACTGGCAAATTAGGAAGATGCTGGATTGCTGGTTTGTTATGGCCATTACTATGCCAATGGGGACAAAGAAGATGCCGCAGACGCCGAGAGCAAGGAGGAGACCGTACCATGGGAGGTGGACGGGGTAGCTGGGATTTTTTGTTAGATTTTGGGAAACGGGGGTGAAGGAATGGGGTGGAGCGAACTATTCTACAACGAATACTCCTACTGCAATCATTACGACAAAAGTGGCCAAATACCAACTCGCCGGAGCTTCTCGATACCGGCGCATAAGCCGCATATGTACGTCCTCGCGCTGGGCGAGTTCGTCCCATTCTCTGTCGCTGAGGGTACTGCGACGTCTGCCATGCCCCCCCCTCCTTCTTGCGCTACCCACACCGCTTCCGCCCGCATTCCCGTTTGAGATGGGAACGTACCCGGCGCCGGATGCCGATGGCAAGGCAGATTCCCCGGCTTTCCCACGCGAGAACCCCTTCCGGGCACGGCCCCATTGTCGCCATATGTCCTTGCCATGCCAACAGGCGGTATGAGTAACAAGCGCGGTTAACGCTGCGAATTGTAATCCATAGGAAAGGACATAGCTGCAACTTCACAGTCAGATGATCTGATAACGCCATCCACTTCTGGAATAAAATTTCGGGATAGCAAAGGGAGGGTAAATCACGTGATGGGCATAAAGACCCGACTATAATTTTTGTAAGCCCTCTCGTCAAACAGGAAATCCTTCGTAAGGATTTGAGATACATCGTACGGACGTCCGGTATTATCAAAGACGGCACTGGAAAGAATCGGCATATAGGAACTGTAAAATGCGTTCCCATAATCTGAATAATTCGGTTGGTAAGGCACATACATACATTAACCGCTGCCCGTGCGGGGGTGTTGGAGGGGGAAAAAATGGTGAAAAAGTGGGGGTGAAGGGGGGTGCAAACATAAGATTGGAGCCACTATCCACATGACCACGACCAAACCTGCGACTACATTTACTGCAGCCCAGAAAGGCGTCATCAGCGGCGACCCGACATAGGATATTTGCGCCCAATCGAAGGTCAGAGGGAGCATTCCCAAGCCTGAGGCTACGCCAAACTGGAGCACGCATAAGTTTTAGATTAGGGTTCATACCGTCACAAAGGCTTTGTTTATGTGCTCATCTAAGCATCCGGAGCGGGGGAGGATAGGGAAACAATACCAAATTGGCGACTGGAACATTGTCTGGCGCAAACCAAGTGACAACGTTGAAATAGCTCAGTGCCGGCATCAGGAGGCCGGGCAAAAAGTACCAGAGGAAACCTCCGATGAATACGATAAGCTAATCACGAATGCCATCGTCAGTTGAGATTGAAATAATCAGATCATCTGATATGGAGACGGACGAAAAACTTAAACCGTGATACCCTCCATCCATTCACAACCTCGTTTTCTTCACCATGGAGAGTTGTAAACATGGCCGTGGACATGAGGGTTCCAGGCCAGATCATTGCGCTAGGATATACAAGCCACTGTCTTGTCAGGCCTGCAAAAGTATAGCCCAGAATCTGCGTGGACAAAGTGAGGAGTATCTGGTATGTGACTCCTGGGTTTTGATGGTAGAAGTGTGTTTGTTCCACAATAACCTAAGGATCTTTAGTTCCTTCACGCACAAACTATTCACAAGATACTTACATCGGTAGCGAAAGCGAAACCAAACGAGACATTGCTGGAGATATAGACACAACTATGCTCCTTTTGGTTCCACCGACCTTGGCCGAGCCACGCCTTTAACCTCTCCCATCTCCCCTTCTTCGGATTAACGACTCCAGTCGTGTTGTCCTCAGGAAAAACGTGGTCCCAGAGCTTTCCCAACGGATGCGCTAGAAGAAGAGCGATCACCGGAGTAATCGACACCGAGGGATACCTAAGGGAAAAGAACAAATTTGTCGCAGAACCAACCAACGAGAAGAACATGGCCAATGTCCACATTCTAGGAGTATTTATCAAAACATCTGGGTCGTCTTTCGCCGATACCGAAGCTCTTACTTCAGGATAACTGAATATCAGAAACAAGTTAGAGTTGAATCCACAAACAGGGATCACAACGCAGCGGCAGTCGAAGAACCGGAACGTGAAAAGCCGGACAGAAAAAGTCAACTTACGGTGAGTTATTAATGGGGTTATCCCCGATCTCCTCTTCGTCAGAGCCACTGAAAACATCATAACTAAGCTCACCGTTCGTATCTGTACTCCCGCCCACCACCCCTCTATCCGTGTTCTTCCTCTCTCGCTCTCGTAACCCCAACCCAACGGTGTCGGATTGCCCCTGCCACCTCTTGCTTCCAGCCCCCTTGGGACCTCCACTGCGTCTTTCCGGAGAAAGTAACCCACTCTCTTCCATCGCTCCCATCGCCCCGACCTCTTCAACTGGGCTGTCATCTTCGACCTCACGTATGCTCTCCCCCTCGCCGGTTGAGGACGGCACCGACCCAGTGTAGCTACTTCCCTCAGGATCGTTGCCCATGGTCGGAAGAGCGCCATAGCTTCCGGTACCTATAGCCGGTGACGTTCGTAACAACGGAAAATTGACAGGCTTCATAGGACCGGACAACGGAGAGGTGGCGTTGGGGATGGGGCCTCGCAACGTTTGCAGTGAGCTCGGGGAAGAGGGTGGAGGTGAGTGTGTAGGGGGCGCGGGGTGAGCAGGTAGACGTGATGGCGATGGCGCCCGTTCGGGTGTGCCGGTGGTGGAAAAACGGGAGGTGCTCAGCAGACGCAATGGCAGGGTAGGAGAGTGAGGGATATTTTCTATACGTGGTGATGCTGGGGTGGAGTATAGTATATCTGATGACTCCACCTGAGAAGTGGGCACTAAACAATCAGCAACGTATTACCGTAGAGGATTATTCCTCCAGATCTTCAGGCACTAAAGTAAATGTGATTTCAGCACACACCCCTAGCCAAAGTTCCCACAGGTGAGGAGACAGTCAAATCACGTGCGAGGGAGTGTAAGACGGACGCAGAAGTCGACGTGGAAGGCAGGGAAGAGACTACGGCGGATTGGCTGGCATAATCCGACAGCGGGGCTAGTTCAAGGTCTTGCGGATGATGCTCCCAGGAGGCCGCTCTCCTTCGGGGTGGGTCTATTTGGCAAATGCGGGGGCCCGGGGTTGGGGAGGGTGAAGGCATGTTGGCCCAGCGTGAAGGGAAAGAGAGCGGTGGGGGCGAGACCGCTTCGCTCCTCTTCGCAGAAGAGGCATTCAGGAAAGGGGAAAATGGGATGGAAAGTCAAAAGGGTGCGGGGCTTGTTTCACCCTCCCAATGACAGACTGGTGATTTCTGCTTGGTAAGGAACCCTCGGAAGGTTATGTGGAGCCGCTGCTCATGAGGTCCCAGTCGGCTGCTCCCCCGGTTGTTGTTTAGTGGGAGGTCAGGCATGACCAGGAAACGCACGCGGCTACGGTAAACCCCCAGCCAGGGATGGCCGGAGCTATCTGCGGACTAAACCGATGACAAGAAATGATCCCCCGCTCGTCGGGCTGAGGGTGGAGAACCTCAATCCCACACCGCAATCGTGCAAACAAAAATCTTCAATAGAGTACAGATGTCCAGCTTGGGAGATCTTCCGAGAAATTCTTGTGAACACGTGATTCCGCACCCCTCTCGAAAGTGCGGTCCATCGAAGAAAGCTACGTAACCTTAACCGCAGAGACGACGTGGGACTCCGCTGCAACACACCGATCACCAGTGCCTTATCAGATTGGTACAAGATAATATTAGATTATCAGATGACATGATTATGATAGGTCACATTTATCTCGTTTCAGCTCTGTTGTCACAATCATCTCTACCTGTACCTGTAGTGCATTCCGTCCCTGAACTCTTCCGATTTGGAAGGTGGCTTTGCCGGAAGAACTCGAATACCGGTATCAACTGGGCTGGTACAGTATGTTGGACTTCCCCTTCCCGGCTACGCGTGGGGGAAATACTGCTAGCCCAGCTCTCAGTTGGGACGAAACAAAAGAAGTACAGGTACCGGTATATAGCATCTTTCTCCGAGTACCGGTACAGTGGGAGAGGCGACTCCAGCGTCCTCACAGATTCGTCCTCCATCCGAGCGCTTACGGTAGAATACGGTATCAGCACCCGAGCATGATTCCGGTCTTTTGCTCGAGCGCAAGGAGTCCACCAAACCTTAAGTTCCCGTGAAAGCCGCCATCAGATTGTCGGCGGATCTCTCCCGTTCGCCCGGATAGGGTTAGTTTCACAGGTTGACAGAATTGCAGATTCCGGTTGATGTGATCCAACACACCCCGAAGGTCGATCCTACACCCCCTCAGGAAAACCCTAATTCTTGAGCTTTGTTTCTGAATCCGGAGATTACAGCGCCGACAGATAGTGGATTCCACGAGATTTTACGGTCCTGTGATCGGGTACGAGTACAATACGGTAAGTCACTCGAGTACCATACGGTACTCGAGTTAGCAAGCAACCCTTATGGTACCACAGGTTGAAGTGGTGAGAATACCGGAACCTTAGCGTGGGGATGGGTCTTGGTGAACGGCGAGGCTCAGGGTGTTTGTTCATTGCTCGTTGCTCATGGTTGAAGAGAATGGGAGTCGCAACTACCGGATGTTTACTCGGGGAGTGCGCTACCAGGATAAAGATACAAGTGGACTTATTCCATCACCAATACTTGTATTAAAAATGTGACAACCCTATAGGGTGTTTAGAAAAGATGTAGATTACCCAACTTCAATTGTAACCTTAACTGAATTTAAATTCTCAGGAGAGTAGTAGCTATAGGGGACAAGGCTTTCCCCAAACCTATACAGCACCAAGGCAGTTGTTCTCAGTGGGAAAGCTGCATCTTGGTGGAATTCATATAGCCTGGTAAGGTCCTCGGGGTCTCAGCAATCCAGCTTGGCTTGGTTGAACGCCGTCTGGAATGTCACAACCGTAGCATAGCGTCTCGCTCGCGCCCGGTGGCCGAGCCAAATTTATACCGGTCACCACACCCAGGTGAATGGGCTCGTGTGTCCCGTACCGGAACTATTAATGGGGAGATAAGGCGGTGCGATGAAGCGGCTGCCTTTTGGAGAAAAAACATCCGCAGGGAGTGGGTTTGAAGCAAGGGAACTTTACTAGCTGTAATGTTTCCGCGTGTGTTCCTTGGGCGACTCGGCGAAGATACGTACGGCACTACCGGCACGCCTCCGGGCTGGACCAATATAATGCGGTGCAGAACCCTGAGGGCATCGCACCCCCAGATCAAGCGCCGGTCTCTGATGGACAAGAGTCACTCTTGCTTAACGCTTCGTGTCGTGCGTCAGCAGGTTTTCCCGACTGTGGTAAAAACTGGAATAAGTGCGAACCTCCCTAGGATGTAGGAGTTGCCTCTCCTAGTAAATTCCGTCGCGTTTTTCCGGGCCACCGATCCCAACCAGGCGCCGAGAGAGACTCATTTTGCTGTGTTTCCTCCCCTTAACAGGGGAAATTTCTCAATATCTCAACATCGTTCTCGACTGTTCTGGATTTCAGCATACGGTAATTCACTACCCAGCTGTCCCCACTTAGAGAATGTCGTATCGAGATTCACCAGGGAGTGCAACTCAAGTAAAACGGGGACCTCGAACTGTATAGGGAGCCCAAGAGATCAAGAGCCATGAGTAAAGTTTTGTCCGGTGCCTGGGGGTTATGCCTGCATGATCTCCATGAGCATGTTTACTAGCCTAGTAGGCAGGGCATCCAACCACTGGGTTAGTCCTCTGCTGACATAGAACTCATTATTTAGATTTGCTGGATCGCTCAGCTCGGGTATTAAGTTCTTTAATTGCAGGCATCAGGAAGGGGTGTTAGCTGTCCGCTGGTTTTTTTTTTTGACGAATATAGGCCGGGAAAGGCCAACCCTATGGTACGGAGATATGGAGGGGCGCTTAGTGATGAGGATGAATATATCCGTGCGACCTGGGGCATTGGTAGGTAGGTCCTGGGTAGCCGGCGAAGTAGGGTCCCCATGACGGCCAACCGTGCCTGGTGGCTATTTTTTAGACTCAATTTTATGATGCTGCTTATCGAAGACTGCCTGCTGCTTGGTATGGCTGCTGCTTTACAAGGACATTAATTTTATGTTTGGAAGGAAAGTGATATCAAAAGGTTATGCATACAACTTAGAAGTACTTAGGAAAGGGTGGACAACTACCGGCATTGAGCTGAGATTTGGGAGCGGAGGAGGCGGGAAAGGGGTATCCCGGCGTTTCGCGGACAAGGGCGTAGGGCTCGCCGCACGGCTCTTTATTCCCAAAGGTTCCTGGGTTTGTACGAGTACCGTACTGTACGGCAGTTGCATTGTAGGAGACTTTGTGGTGGCGGTTGTGATTGGGAGAAACAGTACTGTAAGTTACCGGTAGTCTAATAAGAAGCTGGGAGACTACTCGTGCTTCTCAGCCAAGAATTGGTACCCCATTTGTCCTCCTCCTCCTCCTCCTCCTCCTCCTCCTCCTCCTCCTCCCCCTCCTCCTCCTCTCCCCACTTACGGCGCCGGGTATTATGCCTGTAGGACTCCCATCCCCACCGCCCCGGCCGCCCCCGTTTCCCCCAGTGACAAGCCTACATGGGGGAATTCAGGGCTGGAGGAGAGGGGGTCTGGAGAGAGGAGAGGGTAAAGAGGGGAAGGAGGGGATGGGATGTGTTGATGTATTATTTTTTGTATGTACAAGTATTATACTTGTATGGTTAGCATTTGTACTTGGGTGGGTGTTTTCATTTTTTTTTTCATACATATATCATATGATTACTTGTACTTTTTTTATATACTGTACGGTACTTGTACAAGTGTGTATTGGCTTGACAAGGAGTTTTTTTTTTTTTTTGAGGCAAATGGGGGTTTTTTTTTCTTCTACTTGAGTGCTGATATGTACAAGTATTAATAATATAAATGGCAGGGGGTGAGGGAATCTCTCCTCTCTTTTTTTCATCTACTCAAGTATATCCCCTTGTGAGCTGTGACTATTACACTCCAGATAGTTAGACTCTAATTTTGGTTGTCCACTATTGGTTGACTATACCCATTATGTGGAAAGGGACCTGTGCCACCCGCTAGGACAAACGGGGAAGCACGAGTACCATTCGGCTACCCACCACTAAAATTTCTCGCCAATAATCACCACTATGACCATCGCATTTAATCCTGTTCCCAAGCTTGCCCTCCAATTTACCCTCTTACCATGATAACACCTTTCAATCCTGTTCCGTTACACATACCGCCCGGCTACCTCCATCTTAAGCTTGAATGTTGGGCATGGAGGCGATCATCGTCACCTGTCTGTGCACACAACTTGAGGCCAAGTGCACTTCCGACAACGGGCGAGCATGACCTCCATGAAGAAAAAGGTACCATATTTAGATCCCGACCATTGTATCCTCATCAATTCGGCACCACTCAATTCGCAAGCACTTTAACCCCGCGCCTCGAATGCCAAATCGGCAGTGTCCCCTGCCAGCGAAGACACCCGCCCATAAAACGTTACAGGGAAGTGTCTTTTTCTCGGGCAAGGAAACAAGTAGCGTATCCCTACCCTCTCGAATTTCCTCCCTTCGGCAATTTTGCACTCGAGTGTCAAACCGACTCCTTACACGTGTGTGCCAAGTGTCTTGCTAAAGCACTGGGCGGCCAATGATACCAGTGGCGCCAGTCCATGGCAAGAACTTCCAATGAGGTTCGACGGGGAAAATTGCGTCCCTACAGCTGGTTACCAGCCAGAAGTGTTCGCCTGACGCACGCACGCACGGCACTGTACCTGAGTCAAGAAAAGCTTACTTATGGAGGGGCAATCAGAAAAACGCAACACAACGTCGGTCCAGGTCGTGGGGTGATGGGAAAAGAGATAAATAGTGTGATCGCCCCTCCTGTCCTCGGCGATTGCGCGGTTATCGGGCTCGTTAGGTACCGGCAGTCAGATACAAAGGATGAGGTTGACCTTGCTTGCTGTATTCTGTTTTGCCACGGCCTGTTCAGCTAGGTTTGTCCTCTCCCTCGAGTTGGAAATGTTCTTCTCTAACAGGTTTTCCAAGGGTTGTCCGGAGTGAACCGTGCACGACCAGCACGGCGACATACACCCATCGCAATACCTCTCAGCTGAGAGCGTCTCCATCAACACTCGAGTCTGAGCCGGAAACTGTGGCTATAGCTACGGTCACTGAGATAGTCACACAAACCACAACAATAATCCAAACTAAAACCCCGGCAATCCCATGTCCAGCCGTTTCGACTGGGGTCTTAAGTGTTTGCGCACCCCCTCCCCAATATGCAGGGAGACTCCACGCTAACGCGTAGAACAGTTCGATGACCTCCCAACCCGCGGCGTCTCCCCAATGCCCCTGGTCTACAAAAATTTCACCTTCATTAGCCCGGCCTGGCAATATTATACCTACACCTCTACACCTCCGCAAACCCCCCTCTACCGCGCCATCCCAGCCTCTTCCCGTCCTAATGCCCTGACAGCTCATAGCGAGGGCTTCCTCTCTATCGGAGCTATCGACCAATCCTTCAGCTTTGACCTTCTCTCAGCCAAAATTTTTGCATTCACAAACGACGGCGATGGCGACCCCTTACATCTCCAATTCGAGCTTGTACATCGAGACGGAGGGGTAGAGAGTGTGTGGCGCACCACTGAGAACGGCTTTGTCTCGGGTAGGAATTCCACGCTTGTGGAATTTGGCAAAGGGGACGCTGGAAGATGGGTGGACTTGATAGAGGTGAAGCTCGCTGCGTGGGAGAAATTTGATAACGCTACTGGAGAAGGGAATGGTGCCGTACTGGTTTTGGATGACATTGAGCATTTCAAGAGGGTTTGTCCAGTATAGTGGGGGTGAGGTGGATGAAGGGGTGTTGTTTTACAGGCTGGTTCTGTGTGTATTGCATTGTTAAATTATTGTGTTAGATGGTAATGTGTATTTTGAATTAATCTCGAAATTTATGGTGTTCTGCGATGGCGGCTCCCCTGGATCAGAGGCGGGTTATTTGGTCTGGCTAGGAACATAGGAAATATCCCCAAACCAAAAACACGAATATCCCCATCCGTCGCAACCCACGAGGAAAACCTTGGCCAATTGATCACCGAACCCTCCTCTGCTAGTGTGCGGGAGGCCAGACCTGCGACTGATCAGAAGCAAATCCTAACAAGGGAAGGAGCAGGAGGCAGGGAGAAGATCCGGATAATTTACAACCCCCCGGGAACGTATCAATAGTATCAAGCCCTGGCTCGGAGTGTATGGTGCGTCGCTGGGCAGTGAGCACGCGCGGAGTGTTCCCTACGCCGGCGCCTCACCGTCCCGAGGTACCCGGAAACAGCACGGAAACAGCACGACGGGAAAAACCCTTGAATTTGTTCTCCAAGTCGTTCGGCCCAGGGCGTTTGTATTTCTTTAGTTGTTTTGTGTTCCAGAGTAACATGTTCCCAGTCCTTGTTCGGGGGGAAGGGGACTTGGTGGACGGGTAGACAACGATAGTAGTCTATGTGCGGATCCGCTTCTTGTGAGTCCGGTCTGAGGACTTGGCCTCAGGCGAGCATCAAATTATGATATCATTAATAGCATAGACGCTGTAGGAGTCGATTTGGAATAATAACCCCCCCTGTCGGGAAAGGAAGGAAGGGTAATTTATATTCCAGTGGTGTGATGCCGGAATCAAGGATTAACATACGGTACCGGTACTTGTGTATCATAATTTGAGCGCTTAAGAAGTTTGATGTCCCCTTCCCCTCCGCGCTGCGCTTAAGTTATATCTGGGACGGCTGGCGTTATGATATCTTGTTTGCGACGGTATCATCTGACAACCTAGTACCGTGGGCATAATTGGTATGATACCGGTACGCGAGATAACGGAGACTTAAGGATTCCGTGAGTGACTGATTCCGTTTTGAAAAGAGACATTTGTATTTTTGTTTGTATCGCGGTTTGGTGAGAGTGCTTGAATTGCTTGATCGAGCGGTGTTTTTTTTTGTTTTTTTTCCTTTCTTTTTGAAGGTGGGAGTTAGTCTAGGGAACTTTGGATCAATGAAGGTATCATGACTGGTGTAAATACTCCAGCGTTCCAATCTACTCGAGTATTATTATTACCGGATATAGGAGGGATTCGATAGCATTCCATTTAGAGAGTCTTGGGGGCCTGAAGATTCTGGTACAGTGCTGTACACGTTTTGGAGCGCTCGGATTATGGCACTTTTCTCCTCCGGCCTGGTCCGCGTTTTGGGCGTCACCGACGATACTGTCTACGAGTAGACAGCCAGCTACAACTTGCGCTGAGGTAAGCCAAAAGTGATAGTTGCCCAATCCAATGCCCTCCAGAAGAGCACTGTACGGTAGTCTACGGGTACAGTACAGCGTGGGTAAACTACGGGCTTGGTTACACCCTTGGTTTCTCGTCACCCGTCGATCGGGTCATATTCTCCTCGTCCCTCTTCTCAAGGACATCATCGAACGGGTATTCATGCTTGCCTTAGTCACTCCCTTCCCGTTCTTCTAGCAAGTGAACTATGTGGTAGTCTACTGTACCACTATCCTCGCGCTGCTGGCAGGCTATGGAGAAAAAAAAAAAGTCAGAGTGCGTTGAGCAAAATTGAATAAAACCTAGTCGAATAAACAATATAATTTATGCTGCTTCCAACACACGTACAAGCGCACAATGTCATTGTGGTCCGGAACCACTCTCCTGAAGGCGCGCCTCGCAATCCCCATCCAATATGACATCTACTTCTGGCAGACCAACTCCCCGCCAACCCACACCGCCCTGATATTTCTATCATCGCTGGAGTATAGCCACTTAGCGACCTTCTCCTCCCAGCTCTCGCATCCGAAAAAGTCCACTTTGCCACCAATTCTGGTCTTTTTCCATTCGTGATGGACTCCGATTGGCATCTCCTCAACGCCCCCGGTAGCCTCCCCGTTTTGAGTCTTTTTCCCTTCGTGATGGACTCCAGTTAGCATCTCCCCGACATCCCCAATGGCCTCCCCGTTTTGATGGTAGGGGACTTCATTAGCGCCGACAAGGATAGCATCCCAAACCATGCCCACTCCAAAACCTCCCACTTTCCCTTCCAACCCCAATACCTCCGCTCCGCCCCTCGTCGCAAGCCAAAGTGCCTCCGCCACCGAAATCTTACTCTTGTTACCCTTCCCGCCTTCTGCCACACTCCGCGAGACCAAGCACGCCATCCTCGCCGCTTCGAGCACATTCACGTCGTACCCGCCGGAAACATCAGTTCCGAGACCCACCTTAACGCCCTCGTCGAGCAAGCGCCTGACCCAAAGATCCCCACTCCCCAGCGCCATATTGCTGACCGGGCAATGCGAAATCCCACTCCCCCTGCTCTTGACGAGCGCGATCTCCTCCTCGGTCAGGTGGATCGCATGCGCGAGCACAGTCCTGGGCGTGAGTAACTTATACACATCGTAGACCTGCGCATAACTGCTGCACTCCGGGAATAGCTTTTTGACAAGTTCAACCTCGCTCTTGTTCTCCGAGATGTGGGTCTGGCAGAGTAAGCCCTCCTCCTCACCCGCCGCGAGTAAGCGGCCGAGGCGGTCGAGCGTATCGCGCGTGCAGCTCGGTGCGAAGCGCGGCGTGATGACGCCGCGCACTCTGCCACTCTGGTCCGCTTCTTTACAGTACGCTACGCAAGCCGCTGTATCGTCCTCCGCGGTTTTGGGGCTCTCGTCACGGTACCATTTCGGCTGCTGGTCTGAATCCATAGCGCAGCGCCCTACAAAGCCCCTCTGGCCGAGGCTAACGAGCACATCCGTCAGGATATTCGTCGACCGCGCGCTCTGCGTCGCGTAGTACGCCGCGGTGGTGGTCCCATTCTCCAGCGAGCGGCGCACGCACTGCGAATACGTGCGCTTCGCTTTCGCCGGGTCAGTTAGGCTGGCTTCGAGCGGGAATGTGTACTTGTGTAGCCAATCCAGGAGTGTCGACTCGCCGAACAAGCCTAGGTTTGGGTACTGGCTCGCGTGTATGTGTGTGTCTATTAGTCCCGGGAAGAAGAAGTGGTTCCTTGGGATTATGCGAATTATGGGCGGTGGGGTAGTGTTGCAATCGTCGTGGCCGAGCTTTTGGAGGAGCACGGAGGGAGGGAGGGTGCTGTCTGACTCACTGTAGTCCTTGCCCATGCGGTGAATCGATTTGATTATTCCGTTGGAGACGCAGATAATGCCATGTTCGACGATTTCGAGAGTGGTTAAGTCGAGACTGTGGATGAAGGTCCCGATGTAGTAAGCTTTCGGCATTGTGAAAGGTGGCCGGGAGAGGAAGCCAGGGAGGAGGAGGAGCACCGAACTTGGGAAGGGGGCGGAGGAGGAGGTACTTATCTAGTGGATAAGCTAGGGGGCTGGTTTGAAAACACAATCATGTTGGCAAACGGCCCCTAATTTTTTCCCACCTAAGGGATAGGAGTTAGGGACTGGCCCCCACTTATGATACAAGTAGAAACCTATCATATCGACGCCCACCGGCGCTGCTGTGGGGTCTTCGTGAAATCCACAATAACCCCAGTAGCCCTCATGACCTGTTAGATCTCATTAACCGGGATTGGCAATCTGTTAACCTGTCAATCTAACCCTATCCCCCGGCTAACCGAGATGGTTAGATTTCACCAGATATTACTGTAGTACAGGTCCCGCAACTGTTATCTGTCGGAACCCCTTATCATAGATTGAAAGGGCCCCACACCTGCAGAGGATGCAACCAAAAATAACTAAACAAACCTTTTCTGGAAACCAAATCCATCACATCTCAAAAAAAAGCCATTTCCTGGATGAGTGATTAAGACGCGGCAAACATTTTGAGTAGTCTCCCGGGAACTGGTTGGGTTGGCCAATGCATCTTCCCTCCTTCCCTGCCGAAAACCCGCCGTCAGCCGACGGATGCCGCTGTACCATACGGTAGAGCCTTCCGCTATCATCCGCTCTGCATGGGGTTGTACGGGTACGGGTACCGTACATGCAGACTCGTGTCCGCAATGCCCTCGTAACGCCTGCTGTATGACGCCAGTATCGTACCTCCAGTCTCCACGACCTTCCTCCACTGGAAGATTCGGAGAGAGGGAGAGCTGTCCCTATCTTGATAACTATCTTGGGCCGGAGGGGGTTACAGTACTGTACAGTAGAAGTACCTCGGGTGTTACGGGAACTTTGCTGACGCGGGTGTACTGGTACTAGTACTGTACCGGTGCTCGCGGCCAGAGTCAATTCAGCTGAGGCAGGAGGATGCAGCTACAGTACGGTACAGTGCAGTGCCGTGACAAACGATGGTCGAACCATCGCACTACAGTACGGTATGATACAAAGATCTATACTAGGGGTATTTAAAGTTAGAAAAGTGAGAAAAGTGAGAAAATCTTAGCTTGATATGTAGTTTCTTACTATACCAAATTATTTTTTCAAGGTAGAATAGAAGGTAAAAGGTCCATATCAAATGTAAGTAAATGAAGTAAAATAAAAACAAAACAAAACAAGAACAGAATGTTAGTACATATAAATCAACAGTAATGATCATACCTTGAATGTTTATAATGGTTATTTGACAGGATACCCCTCTCTAAAACCAAATTTGACAAAATGCCACTATAAATTTTTTTTGACAGAATGCTATCTACCATATGCATTTCAATCTAATATTTTCTCTACTAGTATAGTATATTTCACCTCTAATACTATAGGCCAAACATAGAGTAAAATATATCAAATCAAAACAGGAAAAATTATTTAATGGTATACTTCTCTAGAGCTCAAAATTTAACAGGATACCTTTATGAAAAGAAAAGAAAGCTTGATATAATACTCCTCTATATATCAACTAGAAGATGTAAGTAGAGAAAATATAGGAGAAGAATCTAGAGTATAGACTCTATTACATATTTGTTCCTCTTTTAAGTAATAACTATCTTGAGTCCAGCTATTTCTTTCTATCTTCAGCTTTTCTTAATTAATAAGCATTAGTTTTCTACTTTCATTTACAACTGTTATTTCTCCTCTCATAGCCTTATTATATAACTTTGTCATTAGAGCAACTTGAAGCTCCTAAAGCATTTTCTAACTTCAATCCTTAACTGTACATATACTCGTAATCCTATATTTAGTACTTGCTTTTATATATTACTATAATGTATTTACTTTTACCACCTAATACACCCTACTATATGTTCAGCCTACATTGTTAGAGGTGAAATAAACCATATGGAAAAGATTTAGTGGAAGAACATGGGTAGGTAGCATTCTATTAAACATTTTTTTACAGTGGTATTCTGTTAAGGTTTGGTTTCAGGTGGGGTATTCCATCAAATAACTATAAATTATATAGTTTTTACTATAATACAAGAGTCTCAGGATCCTATTATATCAGTAGACAACACCTTACCTGATATAAGATGGTACTACCTTATTAATTACTGAGCACTTCTAGACACAATCAGAACTTAAACTCTTGTCTTGATAAACCTACTAGGTATATTGAATGGGAGTGCCTGCTAGTCAGACTACATTCTTGATGATATATAATTCCAAGAAGGTTCAGAACTATTAGACTAGAAGAGAAACATTGGTTTCCTACTACAAGATATTTTATGATAATATATACTTGAAGAATAATTATTGTATAAAGCTTAACCTCCTGCCTGAATGGAATCTTTACTGAAATCTCATTTATTACCTGCCTTCTAGTAGTTTCAGGCTCTTTTCTTGTTTTTTTTGTAAATTCTCTGACTCTTTTAGCTATCATATCATTTCCTCTGTTTCTGCTGTTGTTTATATTGTATATATTTTTGAACTTATTGTAGTTGATTTGTGAGTATCCCCTCATTCTTAATCTCTTATGACACAATCACCTTCCTATTTACTCTACTTTTCATACCTGATTCTATACTGATGTCAGTGTAAATCATGCATGGGTTATTTCAAACATGTTATGAGAAATCTGTCCACACCATTGACCAGTCTGAAGTACCCTAATGCAAAATTCCATGCAAAATTTCGACGGAAAATTGCTGATTTACGTTTGAATACCCCTACTGCCAGTCAGCGTTCGCAGGCGGTCAGGCCGGCCTGCAGATAGCCTGCAGATGCACAGTCCGGCCCGGCCAGGTCAAAGTGAAACTGACTTGGGCTTTGTAGGCCAGGCTTTGGTAAAGCCTATAGGCCACATGGATGCCTGGGGGCACCTGTAGGCTTTTGGCATATGCTACCTGACCACTAAATATTGCGTCTGTGCACCACTGATATCTGAAGATGCCCGCAGATATCTGAAGATGCCCGCAGATACCTGAAGATGCCTGCAGATATCTGAAGATGCCCGCAGATACCTGAAGATGCCTGCAGATATCTGAAGATGCCCGCAGATATCTGAAGATGCCTGCAGATACCTGAAGATGCCCACAGATATCTGAAAGCCCGCAGATATCTACAGTCCGGGCAGGCCCGGTCAGATAGGCCAGTAAAGCCGGACTATGGCCTACAGTCCGGCCCGGCCGGTCACCAAAGAAGCCCAGGCCGGCCGCCCTGGGCCTCAAGTCTGGCCGGACTGGCCGCTTGCGAACACTGCTGCCAGTGTATTCCTGTGCCCCACCCCACCTGCGCTTTTGAGCAACCTGATCTGGCAAATGTTTCCTAGGACCTTTCCACTCTGGACGCTCGCAGCTCAGACACCGTTTGGAGTGAGTGAGTGGATTTGAGAGTTTGAGATGTCTGCGGTGCTGCAGCGGGCCGCATCTCACCCTGCGATCTCGCCACGGGGTTGGTACTGTGAGAGCGAATTGGAATCCCATGTGGTGAGCGACACCCGCAGTCGGATTGGCATGGCGGAGAGGGTATTCCTCAACTCTAATTCCCAAAGGATTTCGACGGCCGCTCCGATGGCAAGTATGGCTTTATCAGCGGATATGTTGGATAGCTCTCTCTACTCGTACACACCATGGGGGGGAATGGAAATATATCAAGCTTCCATCACGGTATTGGGGCTTAGAAGTAGTTCAAAATTCTGCTAGTCGTAAGATAGCACAATGTCCCAGCCATGTTACCAACCGGTACAGTACTGTTTATTTCCTTAGAAAATCGGGGAGTGGATCGTACTCGCCAAGGGATTAACCTGCTGGGGGTTCATGCTCGACAAACCAACATATTATACTATCACCGAGACAGAATGAATGCCCGCCCACGGTGCTCCGGCCACGGATCGAATCAAATGGCTAAAATTTGCCAGGAGCCCTACATAATACACGAAGAATAGCATAGAATATGCTTTACAATCCTAATCGTGATTAGATACTCGCCCTTCTCGGGGCCATGGTCCTCCTAAACCCTCTTTTCCCATCGGCCACTCCCCGAGCTAAGGGTGGAAGCACACCCTTGCCTTTCATCTCTTCGAGGAACCTCTTCCCGTACTCGTACCCAACGTTATATATCTCGTTGAATTTCGCAAAGTCTAGAGTGCCGTAAGGGTCGATCGGAGGGCGCATGTAGATGCAGCCGGGTATCAGCTTTGCTCGCTCCAACGCATCCACACTCGAGACATACGCTAGTCTTGCCTGAATCTCGGCAAGCGTGGGAGGGTTGGGGTGCGGACTGAAGGGGTTCCACCTAGATATTGCAACTTAATTCCCACCCTGCAAGACAACGTGTGTGTAAGACAAACCTGTTCAAAAAGGCCCAAAAACCGGATAGTGAATCGCCAAATTCCTGCGGGATATTATCGTCGATACTCCCGACGTCCACCGCAAAGATTACGTCTGCTCCCAAGCTCTTCATGTGTGCCACGGTGAGATTGTCGACGTATCCTCCGTCTAGCAGCATCTCGCCCTCATCGCAGAGCGGAGGTAGTAACCCAGCAAGACTCATGCTCGCACGAATGTATCGCCAGGCATAGCCACTTGTATGGATTTCCATACGGGACTTGCTTATGCTAGTTGTGTTACAGTAGAACTCCAACCAAAAGTCCTCGATCTGAGAGTTTCCAAAGGTCTTGAAAATTCCCCGGTTGAATTCATGCCCAGTGGTGTAGGAGACAGATGGGTAGGTTAGATCCAGAACGAAACGCCACAAGGACGCCATACGCCCGGCGAATTTCTTAGCCCGGCCAAGGACGGGAACAATATCTGCATCTCGGGAGTAGAGCGCTCCGACGAATGCACCGATGGAAGTTCCACCAACAATATCAATCGGTATTCCGGCTTCCTCTAGTGCTCGGATCACACCCACTTGAGAAATACCCCTTGCCCCACCACCCCCGAGTACTAAACCTATGGACTTTCCGCAGAGTCTCCTTGCAAGACGATGGAAATCACTCTTGACCGGAGTTCCTGCTGAGTATATCGGTGCGTTTCTCAGCCGCTTTGAGGTGTATTTTGTGATCTCGGCTTGCAGGATCTGTACCCGTTGCTTGAGGGCTGAGCCGAACCTTCTCGCTTGCGTATGGACGGGCTCCGGCGTTGTTCGGAAGGACATTTGTATGTGGTGATGTCCACCATTTACCCACATCCTGTTCTTAAGCCACTGCCTGGTCAATCCCGACGGGCAGTACCGTTCCAAATGCAGTAGCACCAACTCTTTCCTCGCCGTGGTTTTCATCCCAACCAGGAATCTTTCGTATTCCCCAATTGCAGGACTTCCTTCAGCCAGACCAACGAGTAAGATAGAATCTGCCTGGCTGATACAAGTCTGTGTCCACGGAGCATTGACACTCGTATCAGCAACGTAGATAACCATTCCGTACTTCTCCTCTAAATCCCCGAGATAGCCTTGGAGTTTCAATTTGCCCATTCTACTAAATGCATGCCTTCCAAGATGGTTTAATATCGCAGCTTGGTTGAGAACAGTGACCCCGTTGGGTGTGCTGATCTGTTGCAGAGCGCTGGAAAGTCTGTGTGCGAATTCGGATACAGGAACGCCAGAAGTAACCGGCAGAACACAGACAGTGCGGAGGTTCATGGTTGATGATATTTTCTTGACTGGCGCATTTCTACTTCGGTCTGCCCCTCTGCGCTGTTCCGAGAGGGGGTCATCTATCAAGGCCCGCATCCTGGAGGCAATTATCTTCGATATCTGGATGGTGATTCCGGGGTGTTCCAGGGCGAGGCTATTGAACAGCGACTTTGGGAACCTGGCAACTTCGGTATCTCGGATAGCGTGAAGTGTAGCAGGGCGGGTTGTCTCGGTCATAACCTCTAGTTCACCCACACTCTCTCCTTGGCCAAACTCCCCAACAACCCTCATGCCGCCCTTCTCATCCTCCTGCACTGCTCTTAGCCGCCCATTGAGAACGATGTATATGGCGTCACTAAAACGCAATTAACAATAGTCCGAAGAGAAGGTAGGATCGAAACATGCCTCTCGTCTTCCTGATGATATATGACTTGCCCAGCATTAACCTGCAACCACTCAAGCGCAAAATCAATATGCAGAATCAATCTCGGCAGTAGACTCGTCAAGCGTTTAGCCATAGTCAAAAGCACGACGGGGTGCCTCTCCACGATCCTCTCTAACGCAGCCCTGGGCAAAAACCCAACGTATACATCGGTTTTGGCAGTGACGTCAATAAAACTTCTATAGCTGCTAACACTTCCGATGTATCCAGCGATGCCTCCAGGCTTGACCATAAAAAGGCTCTTTCTACCTATCTTTCCCTTTGGACTTCCCGACCCAGAAGCGAACGAGTTCCTCCCCCCCTTCATCGGTGGTAGGTGTTCAGTATGGTCAGCGTTGAGTGACCCAAGGTTTATTGAGTTTCCGCCCAGGACATTACTATTCTCAGTCTTTTCGTCAACCGGGATACTAGCATCCAAGAACCCGTCAATAACGTAATAGAGCCCAGGGTTCCTTTCTCCTTGCTCAACCAATACAGATCCTTCAGGGAAAAATACAATCTCAACTTCGCCCTTCAATTCAGTATAAACACCGCTGATACCGACATTCACGAATCCGCCGGTGCTTGCACCTGACCCACTTGTGCTAGCGGCAGATTCAGCCTCCCCATCGCCTTCAATAGGGTCAATATATCCAAATGCATTGGAAAAAACGGCTTTCTGCCTCTTGGCATCATAGCTAACAAGTCGAGGGCTCTGCTCCCCGCTCTCAGTGCCAGAACGTACGTTCACCGGTGGTCCAGTTAAACCAATAGCCTTGAACATGCACTCTAATACAGCTTCTCTAAACGCGGAGTCTTCATTTTCCGAGGGCCCATCGGCCTTGAACTTTTGAGCTGCCCGTTGAGCAAATGGATTAAACACACTCTCGGTCATGGGCGTGGGTGCGTCTAACCCCATACCCGAGGCCGACATGGTCAATCCCTGAGAGAACGGCGCGAGCTGGCCAGTTGGGTGATGTTGTTGAAATTCGCCCTTAAACTTTCCTTTATTGTCTCTGAACGGTGAGGGAGCTGTATCCAATGCAGGAGACGGCTGACCTCTAGTAGCAGTAAGTCGAGCATGAATGACCGCTTCCTTGCGAAGAGAACTACTAGACCTCCTCCGCTTCCCCGAATTTGCACCAGGGTTATGCAGGACTATCCCCTTCATGAAATCCTCAGGCTCCGCCCTCTCTTGTTCCCTCTGAAACTTCTCCTTCAACCTTTCCAGAGGCTCTCCGCGGAGATGGTTCGGTAATTCATACATAGTGTATCTGTTCATGAACTTCTCGGTCCTCAGAACCTCAGCTGTAAGGCCGAGATACCGGTAACCGGTCAAAAATGTGACCCTTTGAAACCTCGTAAGAATAACCTGAACGATGTGTGCCGTCGCTTTAGGATAAATCCTTGTCAACCTTCGAAAAGCGCTAGCGGGGATAACAGCAATAGTGGTGTCAACGGTCGCTCTCGCGACAATATCCGGGTGTACAGACTTAGATCTTTTTATTCGAGGTCTCTGAGGGCGCGCGGGATGCTGATCATGCGGCGTTACTGGCCGCGAACTACTTCGGGCAGCGTCGCCACTCAATGATAGTGGTGGCACGGGGGGCAAAGGAAATCGTCCACTATCGGCACCCCTTCCGGGCGGTAATCCTGTGGAGTTCCTTTCGGCCTCAAAGTGGGCCATGTCCCCCGCCGCGTGGAGATTTACCATACTACTGCTGGTGCTCGCAGGGCCACTCTCGTCTTCGTCCTCGTGCCGTAGTTTAACATCTTCGGTAAAGAGACTGAGAATAGTAAACAGACTACTCATTGGGGCACCGTTCTTCACTTCAGTGAGTAACTGATATCCTTGCCCATCTTCGATTTTCTCCTCCTCTTCATCATGAAACGCACCACCGTAGCCGGGCCCTGAAGCCGCTGCAGCCATGTTTCCGACATCGCGATTGGCTTTAACAAAGACCTGGACCAAACCATCAACCACGATACAGAACCCTTTTTCTTCCTCGAGCAGCAGTGTTTCCCCTAAATCGCGCTGTTAGTCCGGCATGAATGATAAAGTGTCGGCGGGTGGGGGAAAATACCGGCAATCAGCTTTCTCGTCTGCATACTCCGGGTGAGCTCGTGGAATACCGGTCGCTCCAAATACCCAAACACCTTGATAGCGCTAAGGAATTCATCCAAGTAGCTCGAGAACCCTGGTTTGGAGTCCCCTTCTTGCGAATCAGGAAATAGGTCAAGCTGGGGTTCCTTTCGCTGGGGCTCATGAGGCAGCCGGTTATAATTATAGAGTATCCTATACCTGACAGCCCACGATACCGCTGACCCAAATATCAAAAATATAATGAGCCTTCACCACATCTCACGTATTAGCGAACATCCCCGGGGGGGGAGTCTGGAACCGGGAGAACAAACAAAGTAGTGAAATTCATGGTAAATGTCAAACTAGTGCTGAACAAAGTAAATAGCCATGTGGGCAGGGTATAAGTCGAAAAGGGTATCACCCAGAGGAATATCCGCTGGAGAAGGCAAATAACAGAGTAAACAAAAGAGGCCAACAGCCAAAATATTGACCGGGTATCCTGCGAAGACATGCTGGGGCCGGCCCGAGGTAGTTCAGAGGAAACGGGAGAGGTGGTAGCTCCGAGAACAGCAGAGTCGGGTAAGGATGATGCCATGGCAACTAGCCGTGGAAAGGAGGGTTTAAATCCCCCAGTATGACGGAGAGAAGCACTTGGTCCGATTTTATTTGGTTTTGCGGCGGGCGTCGGACTGTGTACGGGAAATAAAGATGGAGTTATGGGCAAGTGAGGGAAGTGGGCTCATCATCGCGGTAGGAAGAGGCTCTGTCCCCGAGGGGGGCTTTAGACGCGAACGACATGGGGATCATATCTGACACGTGCGGAGCTGTGCACCCATCACTCCCATTGTCTCACGCCGCTGTTCCAACCAAGCCTCCCCGCGACTTCTCGCTTTTCTATGGAGTGATACCGGTATTATCATGGAGCCAAATCCTTGCCCGTTACTCTACAAGTGACCGAAAACCCTTTCCAACGAACCCCAAAGAGCGATCGCCGAAGATGCCGAATCTCTGTACTCAAGTACAAGTGGATCTTGGCCGAAACACCCAATTTATTGCGCATGACGTCACATAGATCTAGCAAAACGGCTCTACTTCAGCCTCACATTCCGCAGAAAAATCCAAGAAGCGTTTCCCCTCTTTGGAGTTTGCAAAAAAAAATGCCTGTCCTCATATTTTCCCCTCCTCTGCTACCGTACCAGAATCAAAGGGCATGAATACGATAAGAATCCCGACGCCCGAATCCGAAAAATTAAAACAGTCCCAAGCCAAAGGAAAAAAAACCCCTTCCCTATCATCCGTGTTTCCGCACGCTGGTTGGTATCAATCAGATCGCCGTATCTACCCAAGGTTTACTCCGGTATTGATTCGATAATAGCCTTTGTTTTATCTGCAGGGAAGGGAAGTTAGGTGACGCCGTTTCTGGGTACGGGGGGGGGATTGGGGGGTAGATCTGGAAAGGAATGGAAAAAGGGAGGGTAGAAAGAATCTCATGATAGCAGAGAGGGTACTAACGCAGCCGAAAGGGAACTCTTTTCAGATGGAGCATCAGCGGGGCATACATACAGAATGCCACGAAATCTTTATACGGTCCGAATTTGTCTTTTGGCTCTGGGTAACACCAAGCAGCGTCCTTGATTGTGACTCCTGAATGTTTGAGAAACACCTGTTAAGAATGCCTCCAGTGCGGCCGCTGCCAGAAAAGACCAACACGAGTTGTAAGTCCTTTTGGGGATAAGAGGAAAATCAAACAAAAGTCATAATTACCATCAACCTTGAGGTTGTAATACACTGCGGTTCCCTTCCACGGACAATAACTTGAAGTATCCGACTTTTCGAGGAATTCCGAGTTCACGGAGCTACGATATTCCGATTAGCTTGTGTAAACAACCGCCCTCCGCCGATAAGCGCCCCGCTGTATTGAGAGCATACTGTGGTGGAAACTGTGCGGGGATGTTTTGTTAGTGACCTTTTCACTAGATCGTAGCCAAGTGCTATTGGAGGGGGGGGGGAAGAAAGGGGGATTGCCGGTGGAAAGGTATCGGAGTGCAAATTTGGTGTCTTTGCAACACTCACATAAATGTTTCCCTCGACTGTTTCGTAAGCGTCTGATCTCGCGATGACGGTTCCATTAACCTTTGCAGTAGCTGTTGGCGGCATGTTGGCTGAGTTCGCTTATCCCTGGCCTGTGAAAGAGGAATTGAGAGTAATTTTTGTTTGGGGGTGAGAAAACCGGAAGGTGAGAAACGCTAAGTTAAGGAGGAGGATGAAGGAGGTGAGGGTCGGTTGAACAAGGAGAGCAAGGGGCAAACTAACTCAAATCGACAACGGGGGGGTAGGAAGCTCGAGCGCTGGGTTGGCTGGGGAGATGTACTCGTACAGTACTCCACAGTACACGCTGATACCTGCAGGATGACATCCAATGGCTGAGCATGGATGGCCATAGGATAGGACACCGCACAAAATGATTGTCGATGATTCGAGAACGTTGGATTTGAGCCAAAAGTTACATGGCGGTTCTGAATACTACAGGCAATACAGGCGAATCTCCCCCATTCTTTGTGAGCAAGAAAAAAGGTGATATCTAGGTGGGTAAACTGGCTATAGTTTCGAGGAGCAAACCCTAAAGGGCTCAAGCACGGCAGTGGCACTATGCGGCTTGTACGCGATGCCACGGGATGCAGTCCGACATAAGTGCCTCCAGAGGGTTTTCACTTGCAATGCGAGCGTGCTTGTAGAGACAGCGCGGATACAGATAGAGTCCAGAATACAGTCTGTTAAACTAGCTGTATAGGATAAGCCATGCTCGAGGACGATAGCGTAACCACCTCAGGCTGATCCGTAGACTCACTCGCAGGGAAACTACTTGTATGTTAACGAGGAACGGTAGGGATCGTGGTCATTCTGCAGGGGGATCAGATTGATGGTGGCAGAGACATTTTTGAACTTCCGCGAGCATCTTTGCCACTCGCCTCCGGATAGCTGCTCCGCCATGATGCCGGTACGTTTAATTATGCTATACAGAGAGAGGAGCACAGCGCACGATAGTCAAGTTTTCCAGCACTTGTACCCCGACCGACTACCGGTATCTCGCTCCTGGTTTGATACTGCGGGTTACGGTACGGTGTGGAGAGAATCATTGTACCGTTCAAGCACTCGAGTAGCTTACCGGTAGGGTCCAGCAACTGGCTCAGAGCCTCATGTTCAGACCCAGCCATGCCCCGCGTGCTGTACTGTACCCGTATGATACAGTACCGGTACTGCAAATTATACTTAATTATACTTCACAACGAGACGGGAAAGGAGAGTGGTTCATCCCGCCCTGCTTTCAGTTCTCAACCCCACTTTCCCTGAGCTGCCTGCCTGCCCGCCTTCTACCGGTATCATAATATTATTATACCGGTAATGTACTCTGTACTGTACTCGTACTCGAGTGCGGGTACCGGTACTTTACACCCTCTCTCTCTCTCTCTTTGAGCTCTTCCCAGAAAGCAAGCGATCAGGCGAGCAGGCGAGCAAATCGGATATATATAACACACCGATCCCCGTTCCTTACATTTTGGGAGGTGGGAGGGCTGGGGCTGGACCTAGGTGCCGCAGACGATGGCCGAACACATTCAGACGGGATGGGCTACGGGAGCCTGGAAGAGGGGAAGAAGAAGAGCCCTCACTTCCTGCTGTCAAAATACCGGTGCTCATGCACGGTAATCCACTATCTCCATCATACTTCTAATCCCCACACTCGGGATAGAGCACCACAAGAAGGTAGTGTTTACCTGCCGGCATGGTTTCATCGAGCCGAGCTTGCTGGACCTCACCAACTCGTGCCCGTAATCCGGCCGACCTTCTCAGCTAAACCTGCTGTGGTTCGACTCTGTTCATTATCTGATACCGTATGATCGGGGTTGCTCTTGGGGGGACTCTTCCTCGAAGCAGTTAAAATGTTAGTAGAAACAGGACCATGTGGAAAATTACCATCAAGACCTTGCTCAATAGGGCGGCCTTCATGCAAATCCCCCTCTAACTTACTATGGATACCGTATCACAAGCACAGGCATTGCGCCCCGCTTTGCTTGCCAGTTCTAACTCCATTTATATTTAAACCGGATTATTAGGCGATGGGTTGTAGGTTTGTTCGTACAACGGTACTTGTATCATATCACTGGTGGCACTGCACCATCTTGAGTTATCCCTTGAGCGAATGACACGGTCAAACTTGTCACCTGGTCCGTGCACGGCTCTTTGAGTATGATCATAACTGGATTGGGGGAAGAGCAACACAACCACTTGGTGATGTAGGGAATTTCCCGTCGCTAAGGAATGAGAAAGTGCATGGGCTAGATACTTGAGTAAACTACCGTAGTAGTCTCGCAGGGTTGTCCGCCCAAGGTCCCGGTTTGCCGCCAAGACGGAGCAGCGGTGGCTGCTTGTAGGGTTATATGGTGCTGGGAATCTGTAATCGATACCAAAGACAACCAATCAAGCAACAGAATTAATACTTGTAGTAGAAAGATCCTAAAAAAAGATGCAGAATAAACGAGGAAAGTTCTCTGTATAACGGCCAAAGAATTACCCCCTTCTGATCCCAACAAACCTTGTTACCTTTTCGAAGTGAATACCAGGCAAGCAACAAAGATTGCGTCTCTACATACAAGTATCATAAACAGGTGTTTATTTGGGTGGCTATCGGGAATTGGCTGGGTACATGGCAATCCTTCGGTGACAGGGTTCAGCATGCTGATCGGATGAATGCCAGATGCTTGGCAACATCTTGATGGACACCTAAGACTAACCGTTCTTGTCTTGCCGCAGTGCCTCCCTCAAAATTTGCGTCTCTTTCTTGGCACTTGCTTGACCAAAGAAGCAGAGCCCATAGGACCGAATGAGAACAGTTCTCGGGAAATTGTATGAAGAGTTTTTTCGACCATTTTTATTTTTTAGGATATGTTCGCTGTCGATGTTGATTGTTGATCTCGGTGGTCCGCGGTCTAAATTTCAGAAACCTAGCACCCTGCAGCCTGATGACGCGCTTTCTTGGCGGAAAATCGTAAAACTCGAGATAATTCAGAATCATGCTTGCGCACTATATGAACGAAGACGTTCAAGGAAGGGGTATCTTGCGTTTTGAGAATTGGTTCTTCTTTTCTCCTTTGGGTGATCTCCGGAATCGAGCTTGCGAAAGTGTAACGAGATAACGAGTACGAAGAGCACTGGATATGGGGCTGGGATAAGGTAGATTCGTATGGGGTAATGCGGTACACACGAGCAGCTACACTTGAGGAAGGGGAGGGAGAGGGAGAGGGGGACGGGGAGGGGGAGGTGGAGTGAGAGGGAGAGGGGGAAGGAGGGAGGAAGAGGCCTCAGGAAAGGGGAGGGAGGGAAAGGAGAAATGGATTGGTATAAATCGCCTCACCAACCCCGCTACCACGATAATGCGGAGGGTCAGAGCTTCAAGTTTCTACACATTCCGTTAGCGCGCTAATCTAAGCAATCAGTTCGCAGGAGCTTTTTCCGCTTTCCGCTTTGGCTTTACTGTTCCGTTTCGCCTATTTACCGGTTGACCTATTTCTTCCTTCTTCTCGCCATGAATTCAGAGCAATTCCGGGCTGCTGCTCACACGGCCATTGACCAAAGTAACCTCCCTCCCTCCGCCCCTAACACCTTCTCCACCCCAACCTCTACCCATAGCTAACAGGAAAACCGCTGAACAGTAATTGACTACTACGACACTATCGGATCCCGCCGCGTAGTCTCCAACGTCTCGCCTGGGTACCTAAAACCCCTCCTCCCTCCCGGGCCCCCAGCCAACCCCGAACCTTGGGCCGACATTCAATCAGACATAGAATCCAAAATCCTCCCCGGGATAACCCATTGGCAGAGCCCCAATTTCCTCGCATTCTTCCCCGCGAACTCCTCATACCCCGGCATCTTAGGAGAACTCTACTCTGCGACCTTCACCAGCGCAAACTTCAACTGGCTCTGCTCCCCCGCTGCTACAGAGTTGGAGACTATTGTCCTGGACTGGCTTGCGCGGTTGCTCAATCTCCCGGCATGCTTTCTGAGCACGAGTAAGAATGGTGGTGGAGGAGTTATTCAGGGAAGTGCCAGCGAGGCTATCTGCACGGTCCTCGTCGCAGCAAGGGAGCGGTACCTACGAAATCTCGCTGCCGCAGGCAACTCGGCGGAAGAGAGCGAGGGGATCGTAGATGACAATAGATCAAAACTCGTCGCACTATCCTCCGACCAAACCCACAGTTCCACACAAAAGGGCTGTCAAATCACCGGCGTAAAGCACCATTCCATAAAGGTCCCCGGTAATGCCACAGAGAATTACATCCTAACGGGTCCACTCCTTCGCAAGGCCCTAGAAGAATTAACAGCGAAGGGCCTACACCCTTTCTTCCTAACCGTAACCCTCGGGACCACTGCCACCTGCGCCACCGATGATTTCGCTTCGGTAGTCCCCGTGCTGATGGACTACCCAAACCTATGGGTCCATGTCGACGCAGCATTCGCCGGCGCAGCTCTCATCCTCCCGCAATACCAGCACGTCCCAGCCCCCTTCGAGCATTTCGACAGCTTCGATATGAACATGCACAAATGGTTGCTAACAAACTTTGATTGCTCATGCCTATACGTCAAGACTCGCAAGCACCTGTTAGACGCCCTCTCTATAACCCCCCCCTACCTCCGAAACCCATTCTCAGAGCAGGGCCTAGTCACAGACTATAGAGACTGGCAAATCCCCCTTGGCCGCCGGTTCCGTGCACTCAAGATCTGGTTCGTAATGCGCTCATACGGAGTCTCGGGACTGCAGGGGCATATTTGGAACTCAATCCGGTACGGGGAGAGTTTCGCACAGTGGGTGCGCGATCGTGCAGACATATTCGAAATCGTCGTACCGCCGGCGTTTGGGCTGACGGTATTCGCAGTCAAGGCGGCGCTGAGGGAGGAGAGTAATCGCTTGACCAAGGCTGTGTATGAGGCGGTGAATGCCCATGGGGAGATATTTATCACGAGCACAGTTATCGACGGGACTTATGCAATCCGTGTTGTGGGTGGTGGGCCCAAGACTCGAGAGGAGGTGCTCCGGAGGGCATTTGAGATATTTGTTTGTAAGACGGAGGAGGTGCTTAGGGCTACGGATGCAGCTAAGGTTGATGGTATCGATGGTGTCAACGGGGTCGCCAAGGTTAACGGCATGAACGGTGTCAATTATATCGCTGCACTAAAGTAGGAGGGTTGGGTAGGCGGGCATACCGGGGGTCCTGGTTTTGCCCTACCTACGAGTGATAACATATGCTTGGTTGATATGCGAGGGGGTCGTCTCTATTCACCCCACTTTTTCCGTTGTTTGTTCTTTGCTTTCCCTTTGACCAAAGAGCGGGAGCAAGGAAGGAACCATATCCAGATTGCAACTATGTATCAATAGTGGTAATGAACTGGGAATCTATTAGGGGGTTTTTGGGCTGGGCTCTGACTTAAATGGGAGTAACTAAGGTGTTTAGCACTCCAGATGACGCCGTTTTCCTCTCTTTTACAGAACTCTACAAGTGGTTGCGGGTGAAATGTTTTGGCATCGCACTTGTCCGATCAGGAGTCATAATACTGGCTCTCGTGCACTGTCATGGTAGTACTCTTAGCTTGCTTTGCTTGAGTTTTTGTCTCGAGTTTAGACAGTGTTCCCAAGTGTCCAGTCCGTCCGTCCTGTGGTCCGTCCTGTCTCTGCCCGGGACGGCCGGCCGGGCCCAATAGGTCTTACCTCCTTGATCTATTCCCGGTATAGTGGGTTTGTGGTCACAACGAAACCAAAGTTTTATATTCAAATAATAGTAACTTGGCACCCCCTCTCCTGGCCGGTATTGCTGCGAATGGCTCTGCGGATGAGAGCCGGGCCATACAGATGACGGCCGGAAGATATTGGGACTCCCGAGCCCGGGCGCCGACCCCTAGGACGGCGGTCTTTATCAAAGACGGACGCCGTGCCTTGCCGTCCTTACCCACCCTGCCCAGGACGCCCGGGGCGGTTGGGAACACCGAGTTTAGATTCTTTGATACTCCCAAACAGTCCCTTCCCGTCAAGAACGAAAGTGTTGGGTGCTAGGTAAGCTTGGCTGCAGAACAGATAATGAGGCTTGCAGCATACTACTATGACAAATTGAAGCTAAAGTGCTCTCCACTGCGGTGCGCCCTAGGTAAGCATCCAAACGGTATTTTGACGCATTAGGGGTCCTTGAACGTTGGACGGGTTCAAGTTAGGTTTAGGATCAAAATTCGTTATCAAAGTCGATTGGCACAAAGCGTCGCCTTGAATTGCTTCGGACTCATCTGTGCCATCTAGTAAACCTGTGGATGGGCGCTTGATACTAGTGTGGCTAGGATCAAGGACCTGCGTCAAAAGTAATTAGTGTAGATGGTTCCTTGGTAAAGTGTTTGTGACCCAAGAGATGTGAGAATTGTAAAGTACTCGCCATCTTTTAGTACATGGACTGCATGAGACGATGGCTACACATTCAGGAGGACGGGAATAAGTAGTAGAACTGTTCAATAAAGGCAAATTTTCATTGGACAGTACCGGTATTGGATTTGCTTTCTTTCTGCCAGTGGCTAATTTTTTACATTCTTACTACTAGTAGTATGATAACCCAGCGCCTATAGGCCATAGTAGACTGCGCGAATATGAATACAGAAGGCGAGGAGGTGTACTAATAGAAATAGTGGGATGTACAATACCTTGATATATTTACAGAATACTTCATATCAAGGTTGTGTATCAGCTGCATGTATTCTACAAAAGAGAACCGTGATAATCTGTGCCCGTCTGAGCGCCTATACCAAATTCTGACGGGATCCGACATGCCATGTTCGGGTATTTCTTGTGGTATACCAGCTATAGCACGGATCCTGCCTCCCCAGCCGCAAGGTTTTGTCACGTGCAAACTCACATGGGCACGTGATCGGATAGCAATAGCCGGCCAGGTGGATCGACGACCAAATACTCTTGGTGCTGTCGGCGAAAGATGTTGGTGAAAGACATTGGCAAAAGACGTCGGCCAAAATTCCTTGGCACCTCCTGTGGAAACAGTATATATACCACCTCTCCCCTGATCCGGCTCTCCTCTGATCCCTCTCCATCTATCACTCCCCTGAACCCGCTCCATCCACCTCCATCTTGACTGAAACATCTTCCAACATGTTGGCTAGCACTCTCAGCCAGTTGGTACTCTTCCCGCCTCCGTCTACTTCGGTATCTCCAGCATATGAGTCCTCTATGCAGAACTCCACTTTCAACCCCATCTTGAGAGAAACTCTCTCCCTTGTAAACCCCAGTGACATTGCAAATTTTAAAACGTATTTGCAGTCTCTTCCGTTCGTCTTCGATGATCTCAAGTCCTGCATCGCTGGCACCACTCTAGGTTCAGAAGCCGATGTCAAACTCTTCTACAGTACTAACCTTGTTCTGGCCTGCTGGCCGGTCGCTTTGGCAATGGTGCCAGACAAACGCCAGTTTGACCTCCGTCTAGTGTCCGAGAGAACCTTACAAGGACAGACTTCTATTGATATGTCTATCTTGACTTTCCGCCAATCCGGAACAGTTAGTGATTCAGAGGCCTTCCTGTGTTTTGAATTCAAAGCACCGGGAGCTTGCCAATTTGTTACCTCAGATTTTTCACAAAGTGACGACTGGGTGACAGTCAGTCAACAGGTTCGAAAATATGCAATGCTGAATGACGCCCCCTACATCTTGATTCAGGATGACAAATTTCTCATCTATTTCCATTTCGAGGACCCAGGAGATATTGCAGCAACCGTGACCTATACACTTGCTGCTGCTGGTGCCGCGGGATCGCAATATTCCATGACCCAACGGGAGCTGTTCCTCTACGCATTTGCAGAAGGACTGAAGTACAAGGTTGAGATTCTGCGGTAAGTTCGTTTGGAGGCCACTTTGAGATCAAATCCGACTTACAAATCTAGCGACTTTGGCTTGGCTGCGGTCACTTCTGCCTCCGGACCACTAGATTATCGTGATGTCTTATCCCCCAAGCCTCTCCCTCATATCTCATCTGGCGGCTCCCATGCAGGGACAAGCTCTCGTGGTTCCCACCGCCTCCTCCCGGGGGTGCGCCTGCTCCTCTCCTCCACCTATCCCGAGAGGCTCGAAATGAGAAGGTGTAAATTTACCCAGGCAGATAAGACCCCGTCGAAGCTCCACAATTTGGGATTTCTTTCTGCAGCAGATATCAGGCGCCCAGAAAAGCTGGTGCTAAGCTCAACTGGCCGTCTCCGCTTCCAGTTTGAGATTAAGGAAGTGCAAAAATCTACCGCATTGGCGGCCTTCGGTGAGGGATGCGCTGGCCCTGGGACACCCCCCCGCTCGCCAGATCCCTGTTGTGGCACAGCCCTCAAGTACTTTGAAGAGAAGGTTAAGCTTTTGGATGAAGCAAAGGGGTACGCTTGGCTCAAGAGCGAACAAGGGTATAGCATTCCGATATGCTACGGGGTGTTTGAGTGCGGCGAGTACCCCGGGAAATTTCTTCTTATGGAGCGCATAAAGGGCCACTCTGTCAGCGAGATCGACGATACTATTGCGAGGATCAAGGATGTGTTTGAGGCTGCAGTTCGTTGCCTGACTCGGATTCACGCAACTGGGTTTGCGCACGGGGACATTAGCCCCCATAATATGATCTATTCCACCGAGTTGCAGACCGTCGTATTTATTGACCTCGAATCAGTGCAGTAAGACAACTAACTATATTGCTTTCCTAATGAGTTACTGCTAATGGTGCGTTCCCACAGCCCGCTTATGGAACATTCGGCACAGTATGACAAAGCATGTTTGAGAATTGCTTTTAGAGGGCTTGGATTAGATGAATCCTGGATGAAGGAGGAAATGGGATGGAGTGCTGCTTGTACCTAGGTTCTCTTTTGATAAAAATATCAATATTATTGATTTTGAAAAGGTCACTAGGAGTTGTCCATTTGTGCATTCCATAAAAGATTTCCTACAAATGCCAAGGACTATGTTGTAAGGAGGAAACTCTAAAGGGGTAAACCTTTAAGATACTATGCTCTTGGCAAAAAGTCCTTTTGGATACTATTAACCTGGATATGTAACATTGAAAAGTGAAATGTTTGTTCTTGTAGAAGTGCTAGGAATAATATTTTTGTACAGTTAATTTAGGTTAATCTGTAAAATAATTCCTGTCTTGTATAAAGACATCTCTCATGGTAAGATACTTGTATAAAATTATCTTCTTATTAGTCTATCATTAAAGAGCAACAACAAATTAAAAAAACAAACTAAGGCTCTGTTCAGCATGTCACTTTTATGGCATAAAAATGACTTCTATAGCATATTTTTTGGCATATAAAAGTTTTTATATTCGGGTGTATTTGGTACTTGTTATCAAAATTAATAATAATATTTTTTTATTGCCAATATAAAAATTATTGTATATTTTTATACTAGGGCTAGGTTTAGAACTATGAGATAGCACTCACAAAATATATAAACTTTTAAACTATAATAAAGAGTTTCATTTATTAATTGAGAAAAGTAAATATAAGAATTAACTCTATACTGTTATTTCTATCTAGTTACTTGTAATTTCCTAGTTATAAATAAACTTCAATTGTTATCCTCCAATTTTATATTACGGATTTTGTCACTAAAACTAAGAGTAGAATAAAAATTATAAAGATATACCTGTCATGACTGAGAAGCTCAGATGGTAGAGGCTAATTGGTACATATTTATCAATTATATAGTTGTAGATAAACTTGAACAATTCTGCAGTGCAGTAGAAAAACTATAAAAGAAGTTAAAAGCTTTTTTACTGTACAGTGTATCATGGATACCTGCCCTAAGCTAAGTTGTGTGACTACAATTTCTGTTTTTTTTCAGATACTTGCAGGATGTTTGCCAAACGCATATATATTTTTTTACTGCTAAATTCTTTTATTGGCATATATGCCATTTTTAACTTTTATTGCAATATATTTTTATTGGTACATGCCAAACAAAGCCTAAAAAAAACAAATATAAACAAAGTTGTTATCTATTTTAGAATTTTTTTAATTAGAGGGCCTTTGCATAAATTATCATATTCTCACTTCAAAGTAGTAGTTTATATTTTAGGTAAGCTATATCTTGCCAAGAAATTTAAGGCCCTGCTTGACAAATAGAATCTTAAGCAACTATTCAATTTTATAATGGCTTGTTTTGCAGAAATAGTTGTCTTCCATCTTCTAGTACTTTTGTCAATGAAGATCCTATTTGATATACTGATTGTAACCGGAGCTGGTACTCGGTTATTAGTTTGTTTTATGTTTTGTTTTAAGTATCGGTTGATACTTAGTTTGTTTTATATTTTGTTTTAAGTATCGGTTGATACTTAGTTTGTTTTATGTTTTGTTTTAAGTATCGGTTGATACTTAGTTTGTTTTATGTTTTGTTT